CATTATCTTGTAAGTTAATATTATGTAAGTAAGTAGTATTTAACTTAGCAAGTTATATGTAAGTAGGTATTAAAGCTTTATGTAACTAAGTAAGTACTATGTAAGTAAGTCAGCATTATGTTTGTAAAAACAATAAAAATTAATTTAAAAAAAAATTAAAAAAAAAACTCAAACCCCGGAAGTAAAAAGTTATCCTGAGGCCGGAAGTTACATCCTAACCTTTTTGGATCGTCCAAGTGTCCTAGTCCCAGAGTGTAGGCCCAGACTTGAGCGTACAGTGAATCACTCATCAGCCAGGACGGTGAACCTTTCTCCTTATCCCACCAAGCGTGATAATAACCATCTTCTTCGCTCCATAATTCTTCCGATATTCGATAATTTGCAACCTCCAGTGCTGCTGAAACTTCCTTCAACAAATCCAACTCGTCCATTATCTTGCACAGCTCCTTTGCCGCTCGTAGGGCCAGGACATACAAGAAACTGTTAAAGGTGTTGTGATCGTATAAATTGAGAAAGAGCTGATCATATGTACACTGTAGTCTGTAAGGTAAACCAGTCCCTTTTGTGCCTCCGTCAATCATCCAAGCAATCGCCTTAATCACGTGCGGCCACATGTCTTTTAAGAAAACGCTGTTATTGGTCCACAGATAAATATGGTAGGTTTCTGTTATGAAAACCGTAGTGACATCGCCCATAATTCGCTGATTTGGAGGACCACTGTAGACGAGAAAAGTGCCAAGTAAATATTGTTCGAAACATTTTTTTTTCTGACAGATGAAAAAGGTTTTAAAAAAGATGTTGAAATAGCCTATTGTCCATTTTAACTTTCCCATAAGCTACCATAATGAATTTGCAAAGTGATTTGTTGCGGCCATAAACAAGGTATGGTACAACTTTACATCCTTCTGACTCTACTGTTATTCGATGTTGGATTATGAGGCTGCTCTACAATATCAAAGGTTTTGTCTCCATCTAGCCAAGCATTCCAGTGGACTCGAACTAACAGAATCATTCAGTCTTTTAATTTCTTTTGCAAATCATGACAAAAATCACTTAAATATAGTAAGCTGGAGTCCAATTATGGGTTTGTGAAATTGTCCTGTTTAGAAGGAAAAGGGAATGTGATACTAACAGAAAAACATAAACTAACCTGAGAAAACAGCCGACATTTCGCGACGTCACCACTTGTTTCTCCTCGAAATGACGTCGATCTGAGAAACGAGCGGAGAAATTCCATGCTGATTACGTGTCATTAACCAGGTCTGGGTAGTGCTTCGCCTTCTGATTGGATAAAGCAAATTTCTAACCAGTCAGAAGCACTATCCAGATCTGGGTAATGACACGTCATCAGTACGGAATTTCTGTGCTAACACCGGTTGCGTTGCGAAATATCGACTGTTTTCTCAGGCTACATAAACGCACCTGTCTATTTTTCTAGTAGGGGAATAACATCCAGCAGCTAGAGTTTCCACAATGTGGCCGTCATCACTCTGGTACTTTGCCCAAGCACGCATTACATTCTCAACCAAGTCAGGGTAGAACAAAACATAAGGAATCTCTCGCTGAAAATCGTTATGAACTGAATCAATATCAATACAGTCTAAAGATTCAAACTGCCGCCATCTTTCGTCACGGAGGTAGAGGCCACTTCGCCAGAAACTTAACCCGTTTACCAAGACATCTTGTAACCAAACTGGGAGGGTCTGGACAGACTTGCTGTTGCTGTCGATTATCATAGAAGCGTGCCACGCGGAAATAGCTTGCAGAGTAGGGGACAGGTTACGTAATAGGAAGGAGGCTGGCTCCTCACTGTGCTCGTATAGGTTACTATAGTAATTACCAACAATCTCCGCTGTGTAGAATAGAACATTAAAAAAAAACGTAAGGTTGCTTTTTTTGATTATGCGGAGGGTTTATTTTTGCTCTTTGTATTGGAAAACTGAGTCTTATTAAACGCCATTATAGACTGTTTCGAGTCAGTCATTGGGATGGTTTTAGCCTTAGAGAGTATTAAAAAAAATCCCCGGAAACTTCCAGCAGACTTTGCTTCAGGAATATCTGCTACGCCTTCATTTCTAATCGTCGCCCACTTCCTGAAGAAAAGGATGGACAACCCCTTATTTTAAATAAAACACGTATTCCGGGATTTTTTTTCTGATCTAGGCAGAGAAACGGCTTCACTACAAATGTCAATTGACCCTCTTCGCTCCAAGAGCTATTTTCATATTTTGCTGTTGAAATGGTTTCGTCAGGATCTACGCTGTATAAATTTACAATTTCTTTCGGATGGTGCGTTTTAAACATACTGCGGAACTATAATTGTTAATGTAAAGCATACCCGTGAAATCTCTGTTGGGATAGAACCACCCCAAAACCAAAGTAAGCGTTCTCTCTTTCCCAGGCTTCACGGTAACGTTTACAGCCGTAGCGCCATGAAAACCGCTCTCAAATGTTTTAGATGTTGACACAAGATAGCCATGTTCCTCAAATTGCTTCCAAATTTGTTCAAAACTGTCACTGACCATAAACGAAGGGCTAACTCGCTTTCCGCCTGTAGCAATAGTTGTGTTGCCGCTTTGAGGATAGTTCCCAGGCTTGTTGAGCGTTAGCATTGAATCATGAGCTGTCCACGTGCTTTTCTGACCGGAAATAAAACCTGTATGCCAAGCATGAGGAGGGACCTGATAGAACAACTGACATGTCTTGTTTTCTTTGGCCATTTGCCACGACATACATTGTTTGTTATCAATACAAGCCCTCGAACACTGTATAACATTCGTACTTTTGATGGTTTTGTCAGGGCTCCCAAGTCTTACTGTGTCTGGCTGTATACCTAGAGGCAGATTTAACATAAATGATACTTGAACAGACTTCCTGGTTGGGTTATGGATGCGTAACGTAAAAGCAATGGCCGGAGTAGCAGATGTTTTGTAATCACGTGGTTTCATGGCTGAGAAGGCGAAAAGGTCCAATAAGACGTCTCCAAACCGTTGGTCTTTAATAGTCAACTTGGAAACTGGGTAGGAGCCAGAATATCCTATTGAATCAACACCTGGTAGGGAAAAAGGAAACTACTGAAAACCCTACAAGTATACACGAAAGAGTACCCGTGCGCTTGTCGAATTTTTCACTCTTCGGTAGGGGGCCTACTCGAGGGCGGCGCTTATTTAGAACTATCTATTTGCAAATTTGGCTCGTCACGCAATCCTTCCAAAAGTTTGAGGGGAAGGAACACGTGACAATACCCTAAGAACATCTGGGTGGGAAGCTGTGCCGAGTCATTTTCCCTTTTTTATTACTTTGATTTTTTTTGAAAAAAAAAACGATACAATATAGAAAGGACGCAATAAAAAAAGGTCAATATCAGTGGTATTAACTTTTCAGCATTATCCGTATTAAAAACCACAACTGCTGCATCGACAGGATCCGGCGCTTTGTGATATTTTTGCTACAAATGCGACTCTCATTAGAAGCTGGCGGTTACTTACGGGCGGTGCGGCTTTTGAATTATTACGTACGACACTAATGACTCAAATATATGAATGTTTAGAAAAGGAAACATTGTAAGAAATAGAATGCGCAGCCTTAAGAATTGCTTCTGGCACTAAAGTCTTGAAAGCTTCTTAAATTACCGGGGTAACCCATCGGGGGGTGGGTGCGCAGCAATGCTGCTGAACTTGACGTCCCAGTCTTTACCCTGACACTGAACACAGCTAATTCAAGTGCTGCGAAGTTAAGCTTGGCCGAGCCTGCCGGAGTCTGGTTTTCAATGGTCCACTCGTGGATAGAGCCATCTCCACGAAGCTCAAATGATCCCGTACCTAAAAGATATAACATAGTACAGCAAGTCATAACTAAGCAACGCTCCTTTCTCCTACTTATTAGACGTAGTCGAGGGAGCGAAAATGTTATGTTGAGGATAAACGTCTGAGGAAAGTTTGAGGCCACATAAGGCACATAAGACTAACAGCACAACTCTGGGCAGCTAACCACTTAAGCCCCCCACGCTGTTTTGAAAGATCTATAGCGAGGCATGCGACATAAAAAATATGTAAACCTTGTCGGAGTAAAAGCAGGACATCTGATTAGAGATGTTTTAAGGATGCAAGAAAAGGCCATGGATGTGCATAAGTCTTGTTGTATGCATAAATAACAACCGATGCAACAAGATAAAGGTACGGTATAGTTTCAGGCACCGGTATGGCCGTCCAATAAGATTGACTAGGACTAATTTACAAAGGTAACGGTAGATCTTTAAATTTGTACTGTATGTACCATAGGTTTTGTTTTTGTTTAATTGTTTGTTCCACCAACCAAGTGACAAGGACGGCAGCTTTCCAGATCTATGATTTACTTGCAATATTTGCATGGAAAATTGTCTGGGCTGTTTAAATGTGAAAGAATGCAATGGAAATGGAACTAAAAGATCTTCTGAGGATGCTTCTTGATTCAGCGACTAAAAAGAGTTTACTTTCTCAGTCAGACTTTTTTAGCTATGTTAGCTGATTCATGATAAGACCCTCGCTTTGTTCTGAAAACTCAAAGGTAAGTTTTACCTCTTACCCGTCTGTAACGTGCTCATAACTTACCAATAGGCCATTTCCGAGTTCCCCCAGGCCTCTGTATCAAAACGAGATTAAGTGCTTGGCCTTTGATATGGAAATCATTTTTCATTCTCATTCAAATAAAACTCATTTTCACAAGAAAGGTTCTGCACTTGGCCTCATTTTGAAAGTGAGGGTTTTTGGAACTCGGAAGTGCCCTATTGTGTGTCTCACAAAATCTCGTTAGCAGCGTCTGCGTTACCCTTGTCCAGCAGATGGGCAACAACGTCGATGCTGCCCATCGGCTAGACAAAGGTAACGCTGCCTGCCTCTAGTGACGGTATCAGTGTCTTACCAAGACCTCCTAAGGGAACAGCACTACGCATGCCTTTCGGAGGTGACCGCTGCTTCTTCGGATCCTCTGGGCTCTCAAACAGGTAACTTCGGAGTCCCAGTGTATCCCAGCCAGACCGTATGGTAGAAATGTTCTCAGGTTCAGCATACAATACACAAAACTCCTGCCAGCCAAAACTTTGATTGGCGAACACAAACGAAGGACCATTGAGGAACTGAAGTGCGTTCAGGGAATGGATAAGATCCTCAGTCTTTCCTAATAACGATCAGTTTACAAATAGGATTTTTTGATCAAGGAGTAATGTCGCCTGCGAGCAAGCTCTCTGGGGCGCTGGCGGGAAAAGGAAGGAGAGCTTGAACCTACGTCTCTGGAATTTGAATATCTGCATCGAAAAAGTCGATGCAAAATGCTGATTGGCGGAGACGACATTAGTAATGACGTCATTACCCCTGGCACGTGTTTTTTGTTTACATTCGCGCCCGTCCTTCCTTTTCCCGCCCCGCCGCCAGAGCGCCTCGGAGAGCTTGCAGGCAGGCTAGGAGTAATGACATACTTTAGTCATGGTTTTGCTAGTATGTTTTAAGGTTAGCTCGCCAGTTGTTATCCTACAGTCTACGCATTTTCTTGGTTAGGTTGGGGGAGGGGGGGAGGGGGGCAATACGGGAGGCAGTGAAGGCACGTAGATGGGCACCTTGTTTTTATAGCCTTGTGTCCGTCATTTTGTTCACACTATTTACTCTTCCCAATCTTCTAAATTTAACTGGCCTCGGTGCTTGCAAAGGAATCCCAAGGTCACTACAATGAGCGCTTGCTAATACTGCGTTACGCAACGTTTTATACAGGAAAAGGAATAAAACGAATAAAATCGCCGCATTATCTTGTCTTGTTGTGAAGAAAAGAAATAAAATTAACTTAGTAATTCTTAAAAGAGTTAAGGTAGGATCCCATAACATAAAATACAGCGCAAGTAAGACCAAGTAAAGTAAATTTATTTTACGTCTTTTCTTCACAATGGTTACGAGCCCCATCCCCCACCCCCTCACCCCACCACCACCCCCGGATATAAGCCTCTCCACTTAATAGCCCTCCTAAAACCCCTTCACGATTAGTCTGCTACACAGCCGTTTTTAGTGTCGTCACGCAATGCTCCTCCCCACAGTGGGGAGGAGCATTGCGTGACGACCCTAAATACGGCTGTGTAGCAGACTACTTCACGATGCTACACGCAGAAAACATTGAGCCTTTGCTCGCCCGAAACGACTCGCCCCGGCGCTAGCTTGTGTACAGCCGCCTGGAGACAAGCTCCCCGTTGTTGATAATTGACCCCTGAGGCGGCCTTGAGGTCAGTTGCAGAAAGAACGTAACGTTTCCCTGAGAACCTGTTCGTCAGGATAGTAGGTCGTTGTTGATCCGGTATATAACTGTATTCACATGAAACAAAGAATTTAAAAGTTTGATGAAGAAAAAGATGATGTCTAAAATAAATATTTTACAGGCAAGGTGGGAAAAGTTCGTGGTTGGCGATAAATTAATGACGCTTGGGGCTTGTATTGATGTCACTCCATAAAGCGGTTGTTAAATTATTGATGCTACGAGGATAATTCCTAGTTGTATGTAAACGTACTGGCAGATACCGCATTTTTGGTTTTTAAGATCGCTATGAAGTACCTTACAGAAACTCTCCAAAGGCTGATACAGTCATTCCCTTTTAAAAATCTGAACACAGCGTTAGCAAGCATCAGGAAACGTACATTCCGCCAAGTTTTATAACAAGACAAGATATAATTACCTTTACCTGCCAACACAAGCAATGCTTGACAAACAACGGAGGCCACCAGCAGTACTCGTTTTGTGATTTCCATGGATTCCGCCTTCGACAAGGCTTCGATTTTGTTTAGGTCACGCGCTCTGATTTAATACGGAGCTGTCGTGTGTGTGAGGGTTTATGGAGGCACCATCAGTTGTCAAAAGTGAAAAATGATCCCTTCCTGAGTACGATTGACCGTTTTCCGCTTGACATCAAAAAGAGAAGGATAACTTTTGGCTCCCAGGTCTGCACGGTGCCACGATCACGGTCTCAATGATTGTCCAATAAAAGGCATGGTTAGATGATAAAAACGTTATTAGTCGAGCTTGCTTGAGCAAAGCGAGACTCTAAAAATGCAGTCGTTTTTTTTTTTGTCGGTGGGACCTAGTTTGTACTAAGGATAAGAATCGTGGCGACTTTCACTGTATGCAAATGAGTCTCGTGATTAGCATGCGATATATAAGTTTGGCAATGATGTAATTTTCCTCGAATGGAGGCCCTTGATTTTCGTGTAATTATGCACGACATGCTGCCAATGATTAAAAAGGAAATATCCCCAAGAATGATGAGAAAATATTATAGCGGGAAATCCTATTTTGTGGTGTTTTAAGGCGTTATATGCTACGCCAAAAGTGACAAAATATCAAAGATGCAACTTTATAATTCAAATCCACCAATTCACTATCAAGATCGATAAAATTAACATCAATTTGCTTTTTGAATGTGTCAAGATTGTAGAATTTAATGTCAATTCCAACGTCTTCCTCAACAAATTCCTCTTAAAACACTTTTGACGAGAACATGAGGAATTTTTCAACACGCCTCAAGAATAGAGATTACCCAGCTACAACTGTAGAAAAACATCTCTCAGAGGTCATTTTCGTAGACAGAAAGAAAGCACTAGAACAGAGAAACAAAAATGCAAGTAAGAAAATACTACCCTTTGTAACGCAATACCACCCTCAAGAACATACTCATGGGGAAATGGCACCTTATACAGAACCAACCATGCCTGAGAAACATCTTTAAGGAGCCTCCCCTCATTTCATATCGCAAAGGAAAATCCCTAAAAGATACTCAAGTAAGAGCTAAACTATAAAGGTTTTAAGACCAAGCTATTTACGAACCGGAGGAGTCGTGCAGGCCCGTCAACACTTTTAAACCTCATTGAATCACAGGCATCCCAAGCGCACTAATTGTGGGATCGGGCTTCAGAGGTCATTTGGTCGGAATATACTAGAATTATTAGTGTATTATCTGATGCCAAATAAATGCAAAAAGTCTTAAAGATATGAAGTCTTCTTGTTTGTCTATCTGTACTAGTAGCCTTTAAGAAAACGAAAATCGATATTTCTTGCATTATTACATGTGATTCGGGCCCTTATTGCTCTAATTTTATCACATGTATTCGAATCTACAACGCTAAGAAAAAAAAAATCATGATCACGCGAAATATTGATTCAAAAAGCTCCCTTACCTTTAGTGCATAGCCACTCTGTGTCCTACGGTCGGTTTAAACGCCGTTTAGTCGACTTTCTTTCCATCGAATACTGAACACTATAAAAGTATATAGTGTTCAGTATTCGATGGAAAGAAAGTCGACTAAACGGCGTTTAAACCGACCGTAGGACACAGAGTGGCTATGCACTAAAGGTAAGGGAGCTTTTTGAATCAATATTTCGCGTGATCATGATTTTTTTTTTCTTAGCGTTGTAGATTCGAATACATGTGATAAAATTAGAGCAATAAGGGCCCGAATCACATGTAATAATGCAAGAAATATCGATTTTCGTTATCTTAAAGGCTACTAGTACAGATAGACAAACAAGAAGACTTCATATCTTTAAGACTTTTTGCATTTATTTGGCATCAGATAATACACTAATAATTCTAGTATATTCCGACCAAATGACCTCTGAAGCCCGATCCCACAAATAGTGCGCTTGGGCTGCCTGTGATTGAATTCCAACCTGTGTGCTCGGTTTCAGTCCCTCTCGGAAACAAAACTGATCAAAAATTGTCGTCTCCCTTCTTGAATTAAAAAACATGCATCTTGATTTAGAAAACGTGTCTCTTGATACATGACATGAAAGACGTTGGAATTGACATTAAATTCTACAATCTTGACACATTCAAAAAGCAAATTGATGTTAATTTTATCGATCTTGATAGTAATTTGGTGGATTTGAATTATAAAGTTGCATCTTTGATATTTTGTCACTTTTGGCGTAGCATAGGCGTTACGTTTCTCAGAATATTGTCTTCTATGGTTAAATAGATCCACTTTGTTTTATGTATTTAATTAATAGATTTTCCCAGATGTTAAGATGTGAAGTCGTGTTGCACTTTATAAATACTTGATATATCAGGACGTGCGTAAAATTTGCGTTCGCAAATAAAATAGAAACAATGTATGAAAGGCCACACGTAATTCTGTAAGCGTAAAAGTAGAAACTCGCTCAACTTGACGTTTAATCTTAACACTTTATATCTTACTTCTCTTTTTTATTTACGTGATTAAAATTTACTTCACGGCGTTAACGTGTGGAGCCAAAAACGCGTCAGTGGAAATCCACCCTCGGTTACGTGTGTGTCACCGATGTGTTTATACGGGTAGCTTTGAACTTGCCTATCCGCGCACTCTACTTGCAGCACTTCATGTCCATAGAATAAAAATCCTATATCGAGCTTTTCCGGAACGGGATGGTCCAAGAATTCTATCGCTTGAAAGTGTTGATTATTTTGGAACAACTGATTACTTCAGTGGTCGAAAAAAAAGAATAATCTTAATGAGCAAAACATCAAGGTTTACTAGAAAATCAGGATCAAGGATCGGTTAAAAAGAACTTGAAAATAAAATAAATAAATAAATCGTGGATCAGCGGTGATGTGGGCCGCAGACTGTACATAAATTTCACAGAACATCCCTTGCGAAATAACTTTTGGAATTCCTAGGAATTCCTAAAAATTCCTAAGAAGGGATAACCCCGTTCGCTGTACTGAACACTGAATTCAAGTAAACTAATCCGGGTCTGTCCCCAGGGGAGGCACTTGGGTATTTTTTGGGTGGGTATGTGCCGCCCGGGACTCCAAATTGGCACCCCGTTCTAAAAAAAAAATTCCCCTAAAATTGGTACCCCTTTCTAGTATTCGCCCTAAAACTGATACCCCGTTCTAGAAATGGGTGATTTTTTTATACTCCGTTCTAGGGTGCAAAGAGTACAACAGTTTGCTTGTTAACGCATTGAACCGTATTTTTTAAAAGCAATCTGTCCTTGAATAATTTCAAATGGCTGCTTACAAAACTGGAGCTTTCGCGCGTTCGAAATATTATACCCCGTTCTTGACAACGCCTCTGAAATGGATACCCCGTTCTAAATCAGGAGCTTCAAAATCACGACCCCGTTGGGCGGCACGTACCCGTATAGGCAATGTATGGGAGTACCCACCCCCACCTCGACGGTCTGTCTGAATCAGTGATTGTTTTGACGAGAAAGTGAAATTTTCCTGGAAAATGAAACGCTTTATCCCAGTGATACTGTAATAAAAGAAAAAAACTTTAACAGTTTTTAATTTTTAATTGTACATTTGCTTTCAGTACTCCTCATTTTTCTTGTAATTGTTGTATGCACGACCCCACCAGCAATGCTGATCTTTTTATCGTGCTAGACTGAAATAAAGTTGTTATCTATCTATCTATCTATCTATCTATCTATCTATCTATCTATCTATCTATCTATCTATCTAAAATGAATGCTGTATACAACTCTCAACATTGTATTCTAAGACTGTACGGAGCTATTAAAAGTAGATACTAAGCAGCTATGGAAAATGTAATTACTTTCACGCAATATTGATATCTATAAACGGACAACAAATTTAGCAGGAATACGCGCTAACTGAATTAACTGTGTGTTGTATAAGGTTCTGTTAAACTTACACATTTAGCTACATTTTTCCTGTGCTGAACATATACTGTACCGAGCGGTATCTTGGTCCGGTACAAAGAAGCTATGAATATTTATACTGACAGAGTCATGGGCCCCTGATACCGATAAAAATCGTCGTTCAATTTTTTGAGTGTAAAATCCCTGAAAGAGTACTCCTCAATAAGCTTTACCATTTACCGAAGTAAAGCCCCTCAATGGAGCAATATCAATATGTAGGCTAAGATGTGCGGCCTGTCTCTCCTTGTAATTTTTACTTTTTGAGTATTTACATTATGACATATAGCACTCGTTTTGTATTCCAAACGAAAAGTAGTATAACAGCACCGGCGCCTTTGACAAAGAAACTAATCTCCAAGCAAGCGAGACGCTACTAAGAGCGTTCTTGTTTTGAGACTATTTTGAGTGCATGGCAGGTCGGTTTAGGGAAAAAAAAGTAGAAACAAGGAGGAAATTCGGGGATTTATTCGTGTTAGAGGTTTCACTGGAGAAAATTTACTCGGACTTGACTCGGATTTTTTTTATTTTTTAGGGTTACCGGTCATTGAGAAAATCAGGAAAAAATATTGGAAAGGACTGCCGGTACAGTTTTCTGGGAGTTGCTTTTTTGTACTTCCTACATCAACACTAAGTACTGACTTATTTTTATTCGGCGTTATGCGGTTCTCTGCTTTCAGTTTAGGTCATTGACTTAGGCAGGTTAGAACTCTTCTCTAGTAACCAGTCGGATACAAATTCTAACGATTTTGCCTCGGTCCACGCAGAGGCGTTCCTTGCGCTCCTCGCACCATCCTCCGTGCTTCCCAAGGACAAAAAATTTGCTTTCTCCTCTACCCTCGGGACAAGAACACTTCAAGGAATTCCCCTCCCCCAAGACAGAAGGGCACTTGTCTTAGGGGTTGTCCGGTGTAGATGGTAACAACAAGGAGATCAATTAAACCATGTATTGAAAATAAGGTGTCCATGAGGAAATGAGGAAAAAGTAAATTTCTTCCAAAACCAGTAGCCCTGAACTCCCTGTTCCCTGCATGCAAAAATAACTTTAACAATATGCGAATTCTGATTAACCTAAATTACATTAGCCTGCGAAAACATCCGTTTCTCCTCGCTCTTCGCCGCTGGGGAAGTTTCGCGAGGAGGAACGTCTGCGTTTCCAGGCGTTTCTGTCGCTGAGTCGCAGACGTTCCTCCTCGCGAAACGTCCCCAGCTGCGAAGAGCGAGGAGAAACGGATGTTTTCGCAGGCTAAAATTACATGTGTCGACTGCATAAAAGGGCGCGGTGGTTTGGCGCAATAGCGGGTACCGTGTAGCATGTAGAAATTGTGTAGCACCATGCACTTAACTTCTTTTAAAGTTCGAACAAAAGCGGGGAACAAAATTAAGCCAGAGACACGCGCGCCGCGTCATGCACTTTAACATGTACCTCTATACCTACGGGGAACCTGGAGCGAGTTGCAAGTTTCACTAAAATGGCGGCTTCAGATGAAGGTACGAAAAATATAAATTAGGATCGCAATTTTACGGTTAAATGAACATTTTTAAAGCCCTTAAAAACTGCACCTTGAAAGATACTAAATGAATAAATCATTCCATCTGCAGTGCCAGTCTTTGTGAAACCAAAGCGGGAGATTCTGAGCCCACGAGATCTGAGCAAGTGGGAAAAGTCTCAGGTAGAGAATTTCTGTTATTAAATTTTGTTTTATTTATATAAGCTTATTTGACGTTTCTTACGTTTTGGCAGTCATAGGATTTATAAAGGTATTTCGTTTTGAAAACTAGATAGATACATAAAATTCATGAATGGAAGCAGCAGTCTATCATCAGCGTACCAGCTATTTTAATAGGAGCTAATACATGCATGTGCTGCGGCATGTTTTTAACTTTGTTGGCAAAGTAGAATTTTACGGAATCCCGAAATCGAAGATTTCAAAATTCAAATTTCAAATCCCTGTCACTTGAAATCTTGAGTACCGCCCCCGGGACGTGCCAAGTCTGCATTTGTCGCTTACCAATAAACCCCCGATACGCGTTCTTTTTGTTGGGCTGCCCTGGAGGGCAATGCCCAATCATAAAACGTGTCACAACTATGTAAAAAAAAAAAAAGACCAAATGGCAGACAGATCTCTCAGAAGGGTTTGCGTGTCCCATATCCCCGTTCAATGGAGCTGATTTTTGCATGGAGGGGAGAGGTCATTTCAGATCGTTTAGCAAACAGATTTGGAAGTTGATTTTGAACTAACACAAAATTATTGCAGGGAGTTATTGGCCCTATATTTGCACCAGATGATTACCTAAAATACCATACTCGATGATGCAGTTAGCCTACGCGGGAGCTACAGAAACAATGCCCTCCCACACGGTCCCCACAAGAAAAGCTTTAACTTGCTGCAATTGTCTCCCTGCAGAGGGTGTGTTGTGGAAATGTTCCAGTTAAAAAAAAGTGCCATCCGTTTCTTGTTTCAAAGGCCAACTGGCCTATTTTAATTCATAGTGTTAGAAGTTACAGACCCATTCCACGGGTTAGGAATACACACTCAAGCCAGAAAAAAAGTGTAATTTTTTATTGTAATCTGTACTTCCCAAAATATCAAACCACTGCATCATGAGGTCAGCAGCCCAATGAGTCCCGATTAAGGGGGTTTTGTTGGGCCAAGAAATGGGTTATAGGATTTAATGATCAAACTAGGGGCACTGGACCGTGGCACTTTTAAGTTTTAGTCCACCTCTTTCTTTGCAGTCATGCAAATTGATCTGTGGTAACCACTATTTCTTGCAGGCGTACAGTGATTACCTTGGATTTGTCCTAACTTTAAATGATGCTGTCAAAGGCAAATCAATGGGAGGGGATTATAAAGTATCTGAGGTAATTATGACTGTTACTCAAACCTTACCTATCATGCTAAAGCAAATTTAATTTACAGTATTGATGACAGATCATAACCGTTAATTTAAAAAAGTCAGTGATCAATTAAGAATACCAAGGATTCAAAATTATACTATTTTGATTTTTAGTTTCACAAATATTGACCGCCATTACTCATGGCAAATTTTCTGCAACCAATCTCATAAGCACAACCCAGATCTGGGTAGTGAAACATCATCAGTATGAAATTCCTGTGCACTTGTTCCTCAGACATTATTTTGTGGGGAAACCAGTGGCTTTTGCTAAATGTTGGCTGTTTTGTTAGGCTACAGGTTTGTTTTCTTAACAACTTTTAACTTCATACAGGCTTCAACAAAGTTGGTAACCTTACTAGATACCATGGAGTCTTGGATTGATGAGATACCACCCACTGATCAACCACAGAGGTTTGGGAACAAGGCTTACCGGACATGGTTTGAAAAACTAGAACAGGTTAGAGACTACGGAACATGTTCACCCCTCAATTTCCACTTGTTACTTGTAGAACCAAAAGAAACCCCTAGCTGTTTGATTCCCCGCCTACTTTTTGTATTTACCCTGCAACCCTGTACGTAAAAATGGCCAGTGTCTCTCAAAACTGGGTTGTGACCAATTTTGATAGCATAATTTCAGACATAACAGTTGATGGAAGAGCTAATGTATTATAATGTATTATGTAATGTATGTGTAATGTATTATTTTGATAATGCAATAGCTTCATTTTGCGAGAAAAGTTGTTAGTCCTGGACAATACCCTTTGTGAACAAGACACTTTTTGGACTCAAAATAAATTATTAGTGCCTTATAACAAACCCCTGCTCAGCTGACAGCTGTACTAGGCAAAAGCAGAAACTAATAACAAGCATTATTCTCCAGCAAGTTTAAAGTAGAAGGAGGAAAATTTAAGTAGGTTTCAATATATGTGTGCAGCAGGGGTACTCTGTAGGTACGGTTGAGGTAGCTTCCTTCTTTTAGGGGAGTCTGGGGGATCCTTCAAGGGCCCTGAAAAGTATAAGTGTTGAGAAACAGAGACAAATAGGATGGAAACATTATTTTCTGTGTAGAGCTGGTGCTTGCGTGATGACTAGACAGTGATTTTCACCTACCCCTATGAAGAAACCCTGAAAATGATAAGGTTCTGAAAACCTGTGATGCTTGATTATTCCTGTTTTGCTCATAGATATTGTCTCAAACTTATTTTTATTCCAATCCCTTTTTAACTGTTGAGGAACTACCAGCACCTAAGCCTTTTTTGTTGTTATTTAGAATGCTGACTCCTTGATTAAGAATCTTCTGCCAGAAAAGTTTATGGGTGCCAGCACAGAACTTGCAGCATATCTTTTAGGTTTGGAGCTATTACCTCATTGTTTCATTTTTATTATAGGGCTTATTTTTTGACATTAAATACCCACAAAAAGGGTTCCTTCTCTCCTCCTAAATGGAAACATTTGAGATAGCTGACAGATGCCATTTTGTTGTAACTGCATGTATCTTACACTCTGAGACAATATAATACTTCTAGAGGTGGGATCCCCAGGTAGGTAAGGTGACCCACTTGGGTGGGGTTAAAAATTAACCCTCCTTTACATGCAATCTTACAACCTCGCCATACTGGGGTGCACTTTCTCAAGATTATTGAATGGTCACTCAGCATGTAAACAAGAAAACTGTTGGCAAACCAGGTGTTGTAGTGATTAATGAGCACTCTTCTACACTCACCTGCTGCTCTTGCTGCAACCTTCAGTGCTGTGGCTTTCTGTTGTTGCCTTTAATAATGATGCAAAGCCACTGCTAAAAGAAATTTTGCGTGTATTTGATGTATCATGAATCCGACCCCAGCTAGGCGGGTTTCCCCACCTTGAAACGTTTAGATGGCAAAATTTGACCCGGTCTGGTCTGGCAGACCAGGCCAGCCACCTTGGCAGGTCACCCCTAACACCTATCATGTAAACATGATCAAATTAAAATGAGTGATTATACGGACCTACCTGGGGTCTCCCACCTCTATGTAAACAGGCCCTAATGATCCTGCTGATCTTTGTGGTATAGTTCTCTTTTTTAATGCCAAGGAAGGTAAAAAATAGTTTTATTGTGAATTTTAAGTCTCTTCCAGTTACTTGAAATTTAGCACCTGCAAAAAGTGAATCACAGCATGAACACCTGACTTAAAAAGTTTTGTCCTGTAAAATTGTCATTTAAAATACCTGTAGTTGGCAAATTTGCTATTAATTACTGTAACTCCACAAACAAGTTGAGAATTCAAAATACTTCAGGACAGGGTATGTGGTAATTAAGTTGTAAGCTAATATTGTTTTTGTGTGACTCAACTTCTGTAGATGGATTTGGCAATAAGACAAGAATAGACTATGGAACAGGTATTTTTGGCAGTTATGCATTAATATTATAATTGATTAATTATTATTGTTAGTATTAGTATTAGTATTTTTATTAGTGTTATCTGAAGTCATTATATAATCACAATAATTGTTAATCACATGGACTTTAACTTTCCATGGGGGAGTCTTGTCACTATGCCATGTTTCGTAGGATCAGTATCGCTTTATTAACAGCTGTGAATGCTTCAAACAGTTATATAATAAAGCGATACTGTTCCTGAGGAAACATGACGTAGTGACAAGACTCCGCCTGGCAATAGTTCTCCTATTCAGCGTAAACTGCCTACGATAGCTTGCTGCTCTCGGGAGAAAAGAGAGAAAAGGTGCAAAGTAAACCAGCTTTGCTTCAAAGCACTGGTCTTAAGTAACTTCGGTACCACTTGCAAATCAAAGTATTTTTCAGCCATTGAGGTGTTTAATTTGATTGTCATGTCAAAATCTCTGCCTGTTGAGGTGAATAATTGAGCTGATAATTTGATCATGAGTCACATTTGTCCGTTGAGGTGAAAGAAAAGCTTGGAATAATGGATTCAAAATGTGTTTTTCTCTTTGAGGAAGCTAACCCCTGGCTATTAAAGCATTCAACTGTAAAATAACTTGTTTGTCGCGCTGGCACCGGCTACTGTCAGGTCCAATAATTTGTTAACCTTTAAGTCAACCAAAGGAAACTTCTCGAGCACTACGCATTAAACTGTCATTCGCCCATTGACATGGAATATTCCTGAAGATGTATTAGTATTTCTGAAAGGTGCTTCGTGAGTCTTGACAAATAAATGCTTGATTGTGACATTTAGGCAGCATAGGCATGCATCAATATCTTCACACCTCCATTTGCGAATTAACAAAAAATGTTCAGATAGTAGAGCAGCCAAACATCTTGTCTTCCTCGGGATTCGTCACTTAACCATTCGTGACCTTGATGAATTTACTTCCAGAGGCAAATAAAGAAATCTAGATATTAATATAAAGAAGTAATAATATTGCTAAATACTAAGGCCTTGCACTCTGGAAATTAATAATTCACTCAAAGGGCTTCCCCCTTTTATGCATCACAAATTCACAAAAATAACATTTTTTCTTTAAGAAGGCTTACCCACCCTAATTTCCTGGAGCCATTTTCATTATCTTCACTTAATTTATGTGTAAACTGTACTGTGATTCCCCGTAGTTTCTTCCAGCTCTGACGCCAGCACTTACTTTCAAATTGAAAGTCTTAGTGTTACTAGCTGTTTTTTTGTAGGCCATGAAGCTTGTTTTGCTGCATTTGTGTGCTGTTTGTTCAAACTCCGAGTGTTCGACCAAGGTGACTGTGTTGCAATAGTCTTCAAAGTTTTTCACAAGTAAGTTGTAATTTATATTTGTTTTTAGATGATGATAGTAATAATAATTATAATAATAATAATAATAATAATAATAATAGGTAATGATAACTAAAGAAATGCAATTATTTTTGAAAGAAATGTATTTTTGAAAATAGATCACGAATGAATTTTTGGCTGTGACATCAATTTATTCTGGAAACATCCAGTAATTACTTTTCACCATAAATATACTTTTTCTTGCCAACCCACAGTGATGAATACTAAGTTCAATGTCGGGTAACCTTTTTTTAAAATTGCCAGCTGGGCAACCATGCTGAGAAGCAAGGCTGACTCAGTGGCAGATTCATAATGTCGCACAATGTATTGGATAATTTCTCAAATTCTACGTAACCCTCTTTTTTGCCCATACATTTGAGTGTAAGTAATACCAATGTGACTGTGGGTAGTGATGTCACGGTCTTGTAAGGATGTCACTAAGATTTCAAGTTGCCTGCTGAATACAACAAGTACAGCTGTAGTCAGGGAGTCAAATAGCTAGGGATTTCTTTTGGTTATATTATTTTTTCTTCTACTTTCGTATGAAAGTAGCTGGGGGCCACATTCATAGTAGCTGGGGGAACTCCCTGGCCCCCGCCTCTTAATGACAGCCCAGGTCTTGCATTTACTCCTGGTGTTTCGAGGCTGGGTAATCCAATGTGCAACTGTTGTTTGTGGACTATGGATTATAATGTTTGTTGAGTTGTTCCTGAGGACCTAACAGGTGAGCAAACTTATGATTTCATGTGAAAGGGCTATTGGTAATTTGCTTTTTAAATTGAGTTTAAAGCAGTAGTTGGTCTATGGATTGGGTTTATGCTCAAATGTTTGTCAGAAACAGCGTGTTTTGCACAGCTCGTTTTACATATACATTAAGCCAGCTTTCAACTTCCGTTAGGAATGCAACGAATTTGTGTACATTTTGTTTTAGAGACTACCTTTGCCCCTGGAGAGACTCTTCACCCTGTGACGCTCTCTCATTAGATCATAACATCTTATCAAATTTATATTTTTATAGGCAGGTACAAAAGTCGGACCGGATCAACTCGGACCGCCAGTCCGGGTCGGATAAACTCGGATCGACTCGGACCAACTCGGATCGAATAAAAAAATAAAAATAAAATAAAATTGGACTCGGATCAACTCGGAGCAATCAAAAAAATTAAATTAAATCTGCAAAACTGAAAGTTTAACCTATTTGGGGGGTAAAAAAGGCCAGGTCATCCTTTTTTTCTCCGTGGCTTTCAGGCGCCATTTGTTTTACTGGTGCCAGTTCCTCTCGGATCATGTTATAAACTCATGGTTGTGGTTCGACAGTAAAGAAATGATAGTTTCAGTCGCCTAGAACGTATATATTTGCTTATTTATTAGACTACTGAATTATTTATGAGAAAAGCATCAAAAGCCTGGTCTGTTGATCGCATTTGGATAGTTACCGAAGAGTGTTTGTTTGTTCCTGTTTGTTTTTTTTTCTGCAGGACTTCTGAAACTTAATTTTAATGATACACTAGTGAGCAGCACACATACATTTCCAGTGAACATTTTCAACTTGGAAGGAGGAGAAACCATGCTCGCCCTGGACAAAGGAAATTTCCATGCCCCGGGCAAGAATCAAACTCGCGACCCTCCGGTTCACTGGCTGGAACGTCCGATAAACATATAGTATTCGGAGGGTCGTGAGTTCAATTCTCGCCAAGGGTATGAAAATTTTCGTTGTCCCGGGCGAGCATGATTTCTCCTCCTTCCAAGTTAAAAATGTTCACTGGAAGTGTATGTGTGCTGCTCACTAGTGTATCATTAAAATTAATAAAAATAAAAATAAAATTAATTTACGCAACCACGAGTTTGTGAGAAAAAAGCAAAATGGCGGGTGAAAGTTAAGTGATACCAACTGATATTATTTTTCTTTTTATAATCCGAGTTGTTTTTTTTTTATGATCCGAGTTGATCCGAGTCCAATTTTATTTTATTTTTATTTTTTTATTCGATCCGAGTTGGTCCGAGTCGATCCGAGTTGATCCGACCTGGACTGGAGGTCCGAGTTGATCCGGTCCGACTTTTGTACCTGCCTTATTTTCATGCCTCTTATACATACTTCGCGTGATTCTTATGCTTTTTTAGTAAAGGGCTTATTTATTAATTAGTTCCTGAGGCCCACTGGGACATAGTTTGCCATGAGTTCCTCTGCCCAATCAGCACTCTGGAGTTCCGTGTGTTCAAATCCCACTAAGATCTTTTAGCTTTGTCACATGCACGTGATATTGCAGATTAATAATTATAACATCACCCTTTCTGATGCGTCTCCAAGTACAAAGTAATAAGTAAGTGCTTCTATTCTAATCTATCATACATTAAAATTTTTGCCTGATCAAATTCTCTCAAGATATTTAGAGCTTATGAGGAAATTACAAATGACATATAGAATGGAACCTGCTGGAAGTCAAGGAGTATGGGGACTAGATGATTTCCAATTTCTGCCCTTCATCTGGGGTAGCTCCCAACTGATAGGTATGTGGTGTGCTAATCACAGGTTATAGTCAGTTAGCAAAGTGATCAGTGATTAGAGAAGCAATGGTGGCACCGTTGGTTGCATTGCTTTGGGTGCCCAAGGTCCTGGGTTTGATCCCGGGTAACATCCTTGTTTCAACTTCTCTTTCACTTGGCTAGCTCAGTTGGATGAGCTTGTGCTGCTGAGCAGGAGGCCATGGGTTCAAACTCCAGTCAGACCAACACTCAGGGTCTTTAAATAACTGAGGAGAAAGTGCTGCTTTTTGTATGGGTAGCTGCAGATGTTGATTTTGTCGCGTGTTTTCAATCAAATAAGGCAAAATTGTCGCATAACAAGAATTGTATTGCATGGTAATACTACTAGTAAGCTCCACGCAACCACATCAGCAACAGAAAGAAGAAAATAAAAAAGCGTCAGGTTAAATAAGTAAACCAAAAAGTCTCAAGATAGGGTACACTTTTTGTCAGATTTCCTTGCTATCATTGGATGACAAACATTGTCAAACTTGATTGGAATGGCAATTCGATTGTCACTTTAATCTGTAAAATCGTTGCTCCATCAATAGCAATCATCACATCTTCAATTTCATTGGAAAAACCACATGTACAAAGGCTCAGTGATTAGACTTTCTAGTCCTCTTGGGTAAGGACGATAAACAGTAGGCCCTGTCTCACAACCCTGGCACATATAGAATCTGCGGAACATTAAAGAACCTACACACTGTTCGCATAGAGAAAGGGACGTTGTTCCCTGTGTGGTGGTGTATCTCTCATGGGGAAGGGACTGTTACAAGCCCATAGTAAAAGGCAGCATGCTCTGTTGTGGAGACCTGCCAAGAATTGATGAAACTGAGTAAATAATTAAGTAAATAAATTTTTCAACCTCTAAAAGTTGTATTTCCCTGTTCATAATTTGTTCCAGGTCATCCTGATCTCATGCCATCTCACTTTCCTGAAATACGTGCTGCTGAACAAAATCACCTTGATTATATGTTCTTTGACTGTATCAAGTTTATACACAAGGTAATTGGACACAGAGCTGAGTTGCCTAAAACAAAAAAAAAACAGTAAATCCAGGTTTACAAAGTACAGAAGGTTTCATGGCATTTTGCTTCGTTATTATATTTAAAACCCAGCTCCCATAATTTTTTAGTATAAAGAAAATATTATTTGAAGTGTACTGCTTATCCAGTTACTAAGCTGTCAGCATCTGTACCTTGTGTTGATTAATAGTTCAAGCAGCTTTTTAGGGAAAAATTAATTTAGCTGATTACTTAATTACAGAGAATATGTAATCTAAAGCAACAGAGTTTATTACGAAAAACTCCAAGGCTAGTTATAAAGAGTGCCTCATTCAGTTAAATCTTCTACCACTTAATTACTGGTTGGATTTGTTCTTTTACTTTAATGTAAAGTAGGTTGACATTCATTGAATTTGAAAAATTATGTTACTGTTTCCCCTGGTACTATTAACAGGTGTTCACCTACTGGCTTATATAATTTACAGCCATAACTACATTCCAAAAATTTTGTACGGTTTGTAAAGGAATGCCTTATACCTAATAACATTATTTCAGTCTAGTACTTCTGTAAGCACCTTCAAAGGTAAACTAAAGGCTTGTTTTAATATTAAGAGCAGTGTTTGACTAGGACAACACAAGATCATATATTAAGCTTGTTTGCCTAAAATACCGTAAGGCTACTTTTTGATCCAAAAAGCAGTTGTACGCTTGTAAAATTTTATATGTCTGATATGCAGATCATTTTCTTTTCATACTTCTTTCTTGTACTCCACTTTTTTGGGTTAACTAGGGGTAAGGGTCTGGTTAGATAGTTTTTTTCTCTTTCTTATGTTTATTGGTAGGTTAGTTTTGGGTGGTTAAATTTTGTAGGGGACTTCACATGTCCTATTGTTTTTCCATCTTGAATATGATAATATGGTATGTATACCTAATCAGTAAATAAATAAATAGTGCAAAATGTCATTTTTCGTGCAATGAGATCCTGTTTCCTTGTCATCTGGCTGGTTTACTCTTTGTCACATTCATCTTAAAAAAAGTGGGAGGGATTGCAACAGTGAATTTTTTTTTTCACTGTTTATTCTCGCACGAAACATCTATGGTTTTGTGAAAAGGGGTCCATTCTTAAATTATTGTTTAAAAAAAAATGGGCAAGGGCGGCTATTGAACCCGGTACCTTCAGCTCCAAAGGTTAAGTGTTAATGCCTTGCACCATGAGGACAATAGACAGAGATACCCTTATGGCCAGGTGGACAGACTTACACAGACATTAAAAAGCACTAAAACTAAAGCAAAAGTTTTGTTAAATTTGTTTTATTAGAATTGCTGTTTTGCTCACTGAAAATGCCTGCTGCTGTATCAAATCCTTTAGAAGATTGTTTCTAGAATAAGATAATTTATATAATGAGTCATTGTGTGAACTTGTTTTAACTGAATCACTCTCTTTGAAATCCCAGAAAATATTTTTCCTTGTCACAATTTGTAACAAGTAAGCTCTTTTTTTCTTTTTTTAGATGAAAAGTGGGCCTTTTGCGGAGCATTCTAATATACTATGGGGAATAAGTTCTGTTGCTGCATGGGAAAAAGTTAACTCTGGATTAATCAAAATGTACAAAGTTGAGGTAACTGGTCAGATTGTTTCTCTTTCTATACTTCTCTCAAAGGAGATTTCTTTACAGTTCAAGGACTCCTTTCACCTCCCCTCCTCCTCCAGCCATTGGCACCTGCTGGAGAAACACTTTTCTTACCTGTGTATTTCTAGGAGTGCCAAGAAACTTGTCAAAGATCTACCTATTGAAGCCAACACTTTGTGAGCCTCTCCTGTCCGTGATACAGAACACTTCCCATACAATGTATAGTATAGTCTTCTGTTGTCTTGTTAGTCTCAAACAAAATTAAATTATTTGAATCTGGGGATGAAGAGCTGCAAAATAACATGTACATCTGCTGTACATGCAGTGATTTTGTTATCTCTGCGTCTTGCGTCCCTGATGCATAAAGATCGCCAAAGATGCAAAATAATAATGGTATGCATCCTTTGAGACACAAAGAATGATCCATCGATTTGAAGATTTTTTGGAGTAGAATATCCAGTGGGTGTGATTTCTTTTATCAGTAAAGTGTAAAAAAAAGTCGAGTTTTTGCATCTGTCTCCAGATTAACTGTCTGGTTACATAAAGGCCCAAGCATTTCAATTTAGGACTCCCATGACTCACCATAACTATTTGTAACAAAATCACTGTACGTGTAGTTTTATATTAAAAGAATATACCTGCGGGGAGAATGCTCCAGAGTAAAAGTGACTGGGATGTTGAGGGATTTGTGGCCAGGCTTTAAAATTTTCCATTTGCTTTTTTTTTTCTTGGATAGGAAAATTTGATAAGTAATTTTTTGGGGTGCCTTGATTTAAGAAGAGATTTTTGGGGTGCTCAAAACAATCTGAAGATTGATGTCTTAGCCCGTACAAATTCTCATATTTTGAAGGTCACACAACAATGCCAATGCTCTTATTTCTAGCTTGGGCCCCCTGAACATTAAGAATTTACACAGAAATGTTTCTCAGCAACAGAATCAGATCTCGATCAAACCCAAAATGATGTTACTCTTCCTATTCCACAGTCTACTGACAATAGTCAAAATCAAATCAAGAAGAATTTTTTTTTTAAGTTTTTCTTTATTGTTGATCAGTTTTTGTATATTCTCTAGGTACTATCCAAGTTCCCTGTGATACAGCACTTTGTTTTTGGAACACTGATGTCCATCGAAGAGGCAGACAAATTTAAGAAACCTCTGTAACACTCTGTGACCTCATGTTATGACTTCCCCATTACTAAGGTTGGCAAAGATAAGGCAGTAACATCTCTGCAGTAGTCATGACAACAAGTCACTGTGACCAGCAAGTCACCATGGCAAGACTGTACAGCCTTGTTCATGTAATTGGCATATTTTGTCCAGGCATTGAATGATCGTAAGCAAGCCTTGTTCACTCTGCTTACTCGGCATGTGAATTCAGGCCAAATTACAGGAAATCCTCCCGTAGAGGAAACCTCTTTAAGATAATCACCTGGGTAAATGGACACCTAGAGTTGGTCCCTGCCTTTTTAAATTCTTTTTAGTTAACTCTCTGTAAAGGTGATGTTACATGGGATGATTCGCAACAACAATTTTCAGCGCAACACAGCATTGCAATGATGGGGCAATGCTGCAACCATTCGAAACAATGTCGCAACAATGCTGTAATGCTTTGTTGCACTAAAAGTCGTTGTTGCGAATCATCTCGTGTAATATCACCTGAAGATGAATGGACGCCTTGTTAAAATGGACACGTAGAGTTATCCCTGCCTTTCCTTTCTTGACTCCTCTTAGTTTACTCTCTGTAAGAGGGATGGACACCTTCGTTGCTAAAATGGACAGCTGGGGTTTAGTCACTGTCTTTCTTTTATCCCTTTTAGGCTCTCTATAAGATGGATACATCACTAAAATGGGCATCTAGAGTTGGTCCCTTTGTTTCTTTACCCCTTTTAGTTGACTCTAGAAGATGGAGACATAGTGCCTCTGATCCCAAAGGTGTATCAGTACCGTGAAGGTTTTTGCCATGTTCCTGTGAATTCCCAGTTTTTAAGAAAAATGATTTTTCCATGTTTTGGCAAATTGGAAAATGTTTCACCTGAGAGTTACTGGGGGTTAAAATTTGTTCTGGGCTAAAACCCTGCATACCATTATTAATGCTTCCTCTGTGGTAAATGAAGAATGTGACATTGTAAGAGCAAATAGGTTTACCAAGTTCTTTCCCATGAACTTTGACAGTGAAAACCCACAAGTAAGAACTGCAATTTCAAAAGTTAGGTTAAGCAGTTTTTTTCATAAATGGTAATTCAGCACAATTATTTAGGTAAAATTGAAGAATTAATGCTCCCCGAAAAATCTGTCGGCAGTTTGTTGTCTAACTGTCAACCAACAGGCAGCCTACAAGTGGCCAACAGTCAGCTGAGAAATGGCAACTGTTGGTTGACAAAAGACCATCAGTCAGCCGACAGTTTTCCCAATTTTTTTGCTGGTGAACAACAGATGGCCGACAGATTTTTGGGGAAGCTGGTCTCAATTTTACCATTATTTAGGCTATTTATAGGTTCTTAAATAGGTTCTCATTTTCTGAAGAAAAAGTACATGTAGCTAAGAGTATTTATTGGTATTTCGCTTAAAATCTGCATAAAATCTTGATTTTTGATATACTGTAAATCCTCTATTAAGCCCCCCTTGGAGGGGGGGTTATTTCTTTCAAACAGATTTGAGGGGGAGGGTGGGCTTAATTTTGATAAATTTTAGAAAATATGGTAAGAACCTGTTTCAAATTGTATAGAGGGGGCTTAACAAGCAAATTTTAGCTGAACAAGTTCTTCAAAACCAGGTTCTAATACTTACAGGTTTTTACTGTAAGTGGTGGTTACTGAACTGCAATATTATCAGAAGAGATGGAGGCCAGGGGTACTAACCATTTACATGGAAAAACCTAAAATTCTGGTTGAAATTCAAATGGTTCATGGCATTCTGTTTGGGAGCTTCACAAAATATGGGCTGTGATTTGAGGCGATGCAATTTTTCCACTCTTTTTAGTATTTTTAGCAAATTGGATATAATTTGTAGTGGGCTGTTCTCCCAAGACATCAGATTTTATAGTTTTATGCTTGTGCACAAGATTTCCCCCTGGGTGGTTTGTGCAAATGGTATGCCCCCCAGGTTTTTTTCCTGCTGCCTCATACAAACAATTGCCCCCTCGACTCTGCTATGAATCAGGGTTGTCACTAAGATTTCAAGTTTCAGGGTACATGAAATTTTTATGTGGGGAATTGAACAGCCAGGAAGTTTGTTTGGTTGTATTTATAAATCCTTTGTTTCATATAAAAATAGCCAGGGGTCATGTTTTTGTAGCCACGGGAAATTCCCAGCCACCTGCCTTAATGACAGCCCTGTATGAACACAAATATACAGTGTATGAACATAAATATACAGTGATTTTACTTAACCCGTGAAATAGGTAGTAGAATACTCCCTGCTATTATGCAATAATTCCACTGCTGCCTTTTGTTGACTTGTAGCTATTTTCCACTAGTTGTTAGTATCTGTTTCATGGGTCAAGTAAAATCACTCTAATGTAGGCGTCGAAAGGCGTAGGGGATCGGAAGGAAGGGGAAAAGGGAGGGGGATTGATTCTTGCACCTGTCACACAGGCTAATCTTCTAGTACTATTTTCATTTCCTGTCACTTCAAAAATATTAGGGAGAGACCTGGTTAAAAAGTTTTTATACTTAGTTCAGTCCATCATCTTTCTTTGTTTAAGACTTAGCATACTTATAACCATTTTTTATCATGGACTAACAAAATTTGTTACAGCAAATCTTGATAATTTTTGTTTAAAATTGGAGGTAAAATTCAGCCCTTTCTGTTTCAGATTATGTTTACCCAATAAAGACTGGGCAAAAATGAACTTTTTTGAGGATCGTTGAGTTAGGCAGCAAAAAAGACATGAAATAATTTACCAAAATGTTGTAATAAAATTATGAAAATGCCTATTGTCCCACTCTTCCTCGTATCCCTCTTTTTTTGGATGTTTGCATCCAAAAATTCCCTTTTCAAATACTTAAGCACTGTTTAGTTCAAGAGTGGAATTTATTCTCATGCCTTTGTCAAACACCACACCAAATTAGGTTATCTTCAGCTGCAAAGGGAGGTGATGCTCATTGATAAATATAGACTTCCAAAAGATTGATTTTTTCCTCTCAGAGAGCATTTGTGTAAATCAGTTGTGGGAAGAAAAAATGAAGTCCACAGATTCATTTGGTATACCCAATATTTTTATTTCATTTATGTTTCTGTATTGAACTTCTGCGTTGTCCAATATACTTTATAGAGCCTAATTATAAGGAGCAATGGTATTTTCTACAGAGATCATAACTCTGTAAATAAGTGACAGCCCCAACTCCTTTATTTATTACCGCCCTCTTGCTATTGGAAAATTGCAAAATTTGTCAAATATGAGGGCGGGTTGGAAATTAAACCCGTTCATACGTCTCCCCAGTCCAATGACGTAATCCACAATACCGAACTTGGCCTTTCAAGTAAGGGCTATTTTCATATTCATTGTTTACTGATCACTCAAGACTCCTTCAGAAAAAATGATGGAGAATATTTCGATGAGGCCTTTAACGGGCTAAATTCAAAGCGGGACGCAAGTACATATAATTTCTGTAAAATATTTTATTTCTTTTGTATTTCTCGTTTCAAAATATGTTTCTTTAACAATAATTTCCTCTGGTATATATTACAAGCCTTGACAGTTACCTGCCGTCATAATGTTGTACATAAACATAGCAAGATCCGAGAACAAATATTTAGGGATCTTTCGCCCTAATAAGGTAAAATAAGTGTAAGAACGTCGATGTATTTCCTCATAAGGACTAGCGTGGCCAAAACGCAGCAATGCGTAAACATTATTAAATAGTATACCTCTTTAAAGATTAAGGAAGAAGCCTTCTTACAAATGTGAGCTTACAATATACAACATTAGAAAAAATATTAGGGCATGAAAGATATCATTTTGTCTTTAAAAACATCACGAAAATACTACATAACATTTAAAGATCACAAAGCAATGCATTTTATTACTTAAGATAAAGAGCTGCTGCCTTCGTCATACTCAAAACCGTTCGAACGCGCATGTAGCTATGAAAATAAAGCCGCCGCTTGCGAAGCGTCAATAAACAATGGCAAGGAATAATTAGAAAAAGTGAAAAATAGAGCAGAAGGTCCGTTAAAAGGCTTCTACAACGGTCTGCGACCAGCCAAACACGCCACGAACAGGTCCAACAGGCGCGATGTATTGAAAGGAGTCTAGGTTCGACCCAAGCGAGGAAGTCGACCTAGGAATACTAGAAAGTCCCGAAAAACTACTACTAAATACATTAACAAGTCCTGAAATATCCATTGGTTCTTGATAACTGAGTTCCGTTTTAGAAGATTCTTTGTCGCTTTCAGTTTTCATACGTTTGTTTTGTACCGCGTGGCTGTCACAAGGTTCATTACCATGCGATCTCGCTCGTTTCAAGCCAGTCACGCATTTGACCTCTGCTTTCTTTTCTGTTCTCTGTCCGTGAGTAGCTTTTACTGTTTTATCAATATCCAGAACTTCCTTACACTCTTTTTTGGCTTGCTTTGGGGCGCTTTCATCCATTTCCGTGCCTCTTTCATTTAATTTTGCCGCGGAACGCGTCGTATGTTTCGCATTTCCTGTGTCAACGGACCCTCCTGTATCGGGCAACATTTTCGTTTTGTCAAAAGTCGCAAGTTCGTTTTCCATAGCATCTATATCCATATCTATGTCCACTTTGGTTCTGTAAGTGTAGTAAGCAGAGTCTGTTGACGTTAAGACATTGTTTAAGACTTGGGAAACGAGCAAATTACGTCGAAGAAGAGGACCGCCACGACAACGACGCGAGTCCGTTATCTTCGACAGTGAAACCTGAATAATCCTCGTCGTTTCGCAATCCATCTTCACAAAGATGTCTTCTGAGAATGATCTCCTCGCTACCTTTGTTTTGAATCGCTAAGATGAGTGAACTTGCCGGTAAAATTTAAATTTTTCAACGACGAAACTTCAACACGACACAGTCGAATGAAGTTCCGTGAATGAATAAACGTTGAAGAGGGCACGATTGTGAAATCGAGATTCTTCGGGATGGCTTAGCCAATCAAATTCTATTACGTCACACCTCGCTGTCTGTCACAGCCAACGTGTCGAGGCTCATCAACCAATCAGGCGACATGAAACTGAGACTTGACGTTCGTGGCTGCTAAATTTAGACATGTTTTGTTCGGTTGCTATGGGTGAGGTTCCTTTTGGCGGGAGACGTTACGCGTGATAAATATTCAGAAGATTCGACCGGATACTACTAGAATTCGGTATACGTGAGTCGTCAGACGTAACGACTTTCCGAGGAAAATAAAATTATCGCTGATAATGCGTTTAAAGCTTTTAAAGAACCCAATAGATTGTTTTCCGCTTGAAGAGAGATACGTTTTTCCATGTCTGCTAAACCGAAAATGCTGGCTATCCTATTTGCAAATTACCAATTTTGCAAATTGGCATTTTTTTACGTAACAGTTGCATAAAAGTCAGATTCCGTGACCGTCAGCACCTTTTGCATTTGCCCTGGCGTGTTTAGGCGGACCAGTCAGGTCACGGATGTTTTGTTTAACATCGTCCCAATATCGAGGGCCAGGGAAGGTAATAATGACATCAAACACGTTGATAAAAGAAAACTAAATAAAAAATGGGGCCATGATCTCACCAGGGCGAGTAAACTACGGCGTTAGACTCTAAATATTACAAAGACGATTTTTAAACTTTCGATGATGCTTTGTTTTCCGGAAATATGAGACAATGACAGGCGAAAGAAAAAAAAACCCTTAATGAATGTATTGTTTTTCTATTTAATTGTTAATAATAGAAATGAGAAAAGAATAGTGTTTGAACCTGTCATGACAGATCAAGGCCACGTTTGAACTGTACGTTATGAATTCGGGAACTCAAGTAAGAATTTTTCATGTTTTTTCAGCACCGTGCGGGATACAATTCAGTGTTCAGATGCCTTATGTAGAGTTCCAGTGACTTCAAAATCCCGATACAAGGGATTTGGAACAATCTTTTTGTGCATTTATATTCCATAACACTCCAGACTCCGCTTTATTGAAGTATTTAACAGAAGGAAAATTGATATCAGACCCGTCTGCTCGGACTTATTTCCTGTTTCCGTCCCCACACTTCCTTTGCCATAACCCAACCCTGGCTACAACCGGAAGGAAATATTAGTCCGCACCTTGGCCTCAAAATCTAGTTTGTTTTTTTCATAACCTCGTTCCACATGGCCTTTCGCCAGAAACGAGGTTAACTTTTTACTCCCCGCACGACCAGTTATTTTTGTTGTTGTTTTGTTTCTGTTTTTGTTTTCATCAGCATCTGCCATCTCGAATGCAGGAATTTTTGTTTTATTCAGATAGTAGAAAATGAACGCACAATTTTGGAAAAAAGTCTTCCTGTCGAGAGGGCAGGCGTTTAGAAAACCTGATGCTATGCCAAAAAGTTTTGGAATTTAGTTGTAACTCTTCCTTTCCACTTTACGGGAAAACTCTTAAGGAAGAAAAACTTTCAGTGTTTATGCTGTGAGATAAGAATTGAAAGTCCATCAGTAGTTTATAGAGGCCCGTAACCAGGGGGTACACGGGGTGCGTTCGCACCCCCCCCCCTCCCCCCACAGGCCTCAAAGGTCCGCATTTTGATACTCAATATCCAAGGTTAAGGAGTGCAGTCGGTTAAACCGAAGTTTCAAACTTAACAGTGATATTTAAACAAAATCAAAGAATGGACATACATTATCAAATTAAAATTGTTTTGGATGAGGTGGTAAATCTGTTTGCCACCAAACACCCACGGAGGCTGGAGCTCGGGACTATTCTGAGGGATTAGTTCCACAGTATTTAATGTATCATTTTACATCGTAAAAATACTCCTTTATAACTTAAATCAAACAGTTGTATTCGACAAATGTAATATTCAGTTCCTACCGTGTAATTTGCCGTTACAATTTCTCATGTATTGCTACTTTCCTAAATAAACGGACCAGACAATAAAAAATACATTTCGGTAGTTTGGTCCACTTTGGCCTCGTTAGCACCCCCCCCCCCCCCCCCCCCCCCCCAAAAATTGTTTGCGACAAATTTATACTCACGTCCTTCCGTGGTACTTTGCCGTTAAATTTTTCATGTTTTGCTAAATTTCCTAAAAAAACGGACAAAAAAAAAAAAAAACCTTTTCGGAGGTTGGTCCCCTTTTTCCCCCTTTACCCCCCCCCCCCCCCCCCGCCACCCCCACATAAAATCCTCCTCGATATAACAGGAAGGGCCAATGGACTGACGAAGTATGTTCGCTATAAGGCCGAGGAATGTCGTTCGTTATACCGAGGACTTCGATATATGGAGGTTCGTTATTAACGAGGTTCCACTGTAATAAAAGGGAAAGAAAATAGAAGGAAGAACGAAAGGAAGAATGAAGGGTCAAGAATATCCGACATCCGCTGACTGAGTTGGCGAGGTGTTAGAAGGGATTATCGCACTTTTTGCCAAGACACAGTTATTAAATTGGCAAGAAACTAGTAAACGACGAATTTTTTGAGAAAAGTCCTCTCCATTGAATGGAAATGGCCAGTCTATAAAATCAGCAGAGACCCTGCATTAATTGCAAAAGTGAATTTTCTTTTTTCAACAGGTATTTTAACATGCTTGGGAAACACGTGCATGCCTGTCTCGTGGGCGAGCAAGCCAGCTTTCATTTTGAACGGGCATTTCTCAACAGGTTTGAGAATCTTCTGTCTTGAAGGACCACAAACAGCAGAAAATTGAGGCTGGATCTTGGTTTATCAATAAGAAAAATATAGAAAAAAAAACTTAAAACAAGGAGGGAACCTCGTCAATGTTTCTTTCAATTGTCGAGGCCTCCATAATCTTTTCTCTTCTGTTAAAGTTCGCCCCCAGAAAACGCCTCCGCAATCAGTTCGTTTTCTTGGTCTACGTGCTTACGCGAAAGGTGTTAACAATCCACCCCTCAGGAACGCGTACCTGAACGCCTGAACACTTCTTGTCAAGAAGATGTTTGTGGTTAAGTTTCTGTTCTGATGGTTTTCCTCGGTTTTACCTCGTTAGCAGGGTAGCGATTCCCTTTTAGATCTTTTGTAATCGGCAACTGCTTTTGCCTGAAACTGTGGCTTAAAATAAACTAGTATCTCTCTTTATCAATATAGCAGTTGCAAGTCTACCGCCCCACTTTTTCTAAGTTATCTGGATCGTCCCCGAAAACAGAGAAGTTTACTAACAAAATAGAATTAAACAGGGTGGCGGTCATGTCCGACTCTTCGCACATACTAGAGACGACGTAGCACAGAAAGACGCGATAAGTCAACATTCATATTCGAAAAAACCAAATATCGGACGAAGATTTTATTACCTCTCCCCGTGACTCCTCTGCGATGCAGTGTGGGAGGCTTGCGCGCGAGACTCCACGCATACGAAACCCTCGCACGGACGGTAACCGGAAGTGGACTTTTTGCATTCTTGGGAAGAGGTTTTGTTTAAATGCTCGGGCAAATATAAGACACTTTAAATAGCAGTAAAACTTTGGTAGAATCAATGCATATTAAAGAGGTAAAGGCGTCACTTCCGGTTCCTGCCCGTCACTCTAATTGCTTGTATGAGCTGCTTGTGTATAAAAAGAAAACCAGATAGGACCACCGTTCTGCATTTTGTTGTTTGGTATGCCTAGCCTTCCGCGAATCCGAAAAATCAAGTTGTGGTTTATTAATTAGCTTCGTTTGATGATTGAGCCATTTTGGAAAAATAGCTCATATGTCAGTGGTCTAAGCGTATGTATCTTTGTGACTTTGTGGCTCCAGTTGTGATTTTGTGGCTTTGTCTGTTCGGACACAGGTGTCCCAAGCTCGAAATATGAGCATCGGCGAGCATCGGCATTGTTGCGTAACGTTCGAAATATAAGGATTTGTATGAGGAAAAAACCTATCGTTTCTGTAACCTACGAAAATGAAAGGGTTTCAATAAAAACAGCTTCCGTTACATAAAATGTGTGTTAGATCTCTCCTGTGTGGTCCATGGGCCGATTCATGGCCGTTTTATGGGTTATACTGTAAACGGTTTTCTCTGAGAGAAGCATAACATTTAAATATCTTCATGATTCAAACACCGAGTACAGTGATGCAGCTGAAAAAAAGATTTCATATTTTAGCGTGGCTGCTGGTTCAAGACATGTCCTATGACCCAATTCGGTTATCGCGAACGGCACGTTACGTGAATTATGTTTCACCCGCTTCAAAGTGAAGTAGAAAAAATCATAGTTTTTCATTTCAGTTTTTTTGATTTTAACTTGGAAGTATGCGTAATTGTGTTTTTAGAAGCTTGAACAACAGCTGATTTTTTTAAAGCTATTACCGAGTAAATTAACTCCGTAAACATGCCTTATTCTCTCTCGAGCAAAGTGTTTTTTTAACAGACTAAAAAGCCTGTAACTTCACGTTCCGGCAACTTAAGTGCAAACATATCTGATACATGTTTGCTCTCATAAAAGTTATTATAACGTAGTATTAAATTTACCCAGTGGCTAAGTAAAGATGGGTAACTTTTGCGTTAGCGAATAAACTTGGAAGTAGCTAGTTGACGAAATAATTAGAGATTGTTTCTTTGAGTGGAATAACATGTTTCACTGAGTAGAATCGCACTTGAAAACCTCGTGAATTATGATGATGCAACCATCTACACAAATGATAAAAATCCTGGTATTTCGTAACTATTTGGTATTCGATGAGCTACATTTTCTTAAGAAACTCCGAGGAAACCTTAAAGTTTTCCTTCTAGTCAACGTTTGGTGAGTTGATATTTATTGTACTTTTAATAACAAGTTGTTTAACTTGCACCAGATGTTACAGGGAAAGACAGACGAAAGTGAATATATAGCATGAGGATCGACTCAGGTGAGCGCCTCGCGTTTTCATTTATGTACCACAATACCTAATTTCGTACAAAAACCCGGTCTATATTTGGGATGAAAGAGGTAGATTCATCATTCTCGGTACTGTTACACTGAAGCATTCAAAATAGTTCATGCACGTTAAACGTGCCTATGTTTTACAAGTAAGTCATCGCTCTTTCTTTTGTATCTGTTGTTGGTGTTTTATGTTGGATGTGCCAGTCAGGCCTTAACGAAAATAGACACCAAGGAGCCCCGCAAGGTCAACAACCTCTTCCCCAGAGCTTTTTCCCTTCCACCCCTCCAACTTTTTTTAAAGGTAAAAGCCCTGGGACGAGGTTGCCACAAGATACCATCCTGCCAACGCCTGACCTGTGACGTTTTCGAAACAATTTAGTTATGGTAAGCAAAAGTGTTATGGCCTCAATTTGCATGTAACTGTCTCTTCAATACATTTTTAAATTATAATTACGACTGAACAAAATTTATTTAGGGTAAAGAGGTACTTTGTGTAAGGACAGAGTTTTAGTTAAAAGAAGATTTATTAAGAACCAAATTTTATTTCAAGAATAAATTAAGTCGAACCCGTATACTGAAAGGTGGCCACATTAACAGGTTTCGTGCATGTTTATACCTAAATTTCAATATCGGAGGATGATAGTACATCACCAGTCAGCGCTAAAGAAAAAACAAGATTGCGTTGAACGTCTCGCTATTCATCAAAAGCCCAAAATGATGTTGGTTTATTTTCCACTGCCCGATAACGAGTGACAAATGCAGTGAAGCTTGATACACAGTTTCCTATGAAGTGATCAGACATCGTCAGAATGGCCAGGTCTACTATTGGATCACTGATTTCATCTGAGGGGTTTCTCTTATGCACGGAAACCTGCAACAGGTAGGTAGAATCTGATCAGCGTAGTGTGGGGACTGTTGTTGGCAGTGACTGACGTTTCGACAACCTGCTCTTCAACCAGGGATTTTCCCGATTTGTATAGGCACCATACCCTCCATATTGGTAACGAGAGGTTTCGCCCCCCGTTCTAGTTCGCCCCGTCAAAGTTCATGTGGCAACTTAACTAACCTTACATACCCAGAAATACTTCTTTCTAGTACGTTATATCTACAACCAAGTATGTGTTATTAACCATGAGTGAGGACAAGATTAACTCAGTGAGGATATTAGCCTAGTCCTCTTTATCTTTCTTGCGGGACCAACGCGGAAAACCCCAAGCGGGCAAGACAGGCCCATCTTACTCGCTCAGCCGGTAGCCGATCAGAACAAAGTATTCGTTTCATGATACCCGCTCGCCGAACCGGTCATATGATAGCGCAGGATACTGGCCAAACCGAAGTTCTTTCTAAGGCCCGAGACGAGGTCAAAGTCAGTAAAAACGCAAAAAAAGGACGTGGCCAATATCCAGCCTTCTTGACCGAATATGCTTTATCAATAACGGATTTACCATAAGGCCACTATAACTTTTTTCTGGCGGTACTAACGAGGGAAATCCCAATTTGGCAAGATAGCCGCCTGCTCTTGCCCTCTCGGGCAGCCAAAAAGAACAGAGGACTAGCCTCGTTTTGGCCGCTCGCAAAAGCTGCATATAATTGAACTTGTAGCTTATATAGAACTTGGGGGCGAACTCCTCGGGGGCTACTTCACTACAAGGCCACCCCAAATATTACGCCACTTCCGAGTTCCAAAAACCCTCATTTTCAAAATGAGGCTAGGTGCACAACCTTTCTTGTGAAAATGAGTTTTATTTGCATGAGAATGAAAAATGATTTCCATATCAAAGGCTGAGCACCTACCCTCGTTTCGAAACAGAGGCCCGGGGGAACTCAGAAATGGCCTATTCGACGTTAGCCTCCCACGGGGGCATTTTTAGGGAAGGGATGAAAAACGAGCTCCCCTAAAAACGCCTGCGTGGGAGGCTAATTCCACGTTTGCTTCAGCAGTGGCTTAGCTTTTTAAAACAATATCCTACCTTGAGTGATTTCAGCGCCTGACTCAAATCTTTCAGCATTGGATCGTGGTCTGTTGCCACAAATACTCTTTTAGCTTTGATTTTCTTTACAACCTTTTTAACCCTCTTGAGGATTTCCTTCTTTGGGGGAAAACACATTTCGTACGTTAGCTTCTTGGAACCCTCCCGAATGCATTGTGTTGAAGCGAACAATGAGGTCTGCCTTGGATCTTTGACGTGTTCACATGCCCTCTCCTGTGAAAGAAATAATTTTTTTGGCGAAAAATCCTCGATGAAAGATTGTGTATTAAGGTAGAATAAGGACAGAGGAGTAAAACATATTTGTTTGTAGTCATGGTCAATACACATGAATGTCAAAGAACTACGTAGGTTGTTAGGGGTCAGTAGCACTGAAGATTAGTCAGTACGTCGATTTGCGGTCGTTTCGACTACGAGTCGTCTACGTGTTTGTTTCAGTCGCCAAAGTCCTAAGCTTGATCAATGAGCTATATATACACCTGTTTATAGGAGTCTTTTCGTGTCATGGCTGAAAGAACGAGATATATACAGGTGTAGCCCTCGTTAAGACGTTCGTGAACGGGACGTTAGCAACACGATGCGTAGGCAAAATGACCGCCGGTCACCAATAGTACGTCGGCATGTAGGAGAATGTGGCAGCACCCCCACAGGGTTACCATCGTCCTTTTTTGTTGTGGACTGTGCTATGCATGCATATGGGGGCTTTAGTTATGAACGAAGCCTCAGAAGATACGGTACTTTCCCCTTCCTAAAGTTCTAATTTCTAGGTGGGTCAAAATTCAAGATTCTAAGATCGCACTCGAAAGCTAAAATCGACAAAATGAAAAAGATCACGGCAACTTTAATTTTGGTATCGTGTGACTGTCATGTTTCCACTACTTCCGACTTGATCCGTTCAAAAGCCGTAAATGCTGAATGTAGAAAAGATTTGTTTATAAAGCGAAATACCCTCGTTCCCTGGCCGGGATCTTGACGAAAACCAAATATAAAAAAAACACAGTCTCACTGCGTAGCAAGCGTTTCCGCGCGAGTTCGTCCAGTTGAACCAGAGCGAAAAAAAGGGATGGAGGGAGAGGGGGAGGTGGAGGGGGAAAGTGCCTCCCAACTAACGCTCACCCGGGAGGGGATTACCTCACAATCCTCTGTGTTAGCCTGCGTGAAAGGGGGAGGGGGGAGTCCCTTGTGTCAGTTTCTTGTTCGAGACTTCCTGTCATTCTTGGAAACCGAAGGAAAAACACTATTTTCTGGGCAAAATCGCCTGTCAACATTCTCCTCCTAACTGCACTAAAACACTATCATACAGTTACGAACGATAGAACTTACAAAATCAACACCATTGCGTAGATGAATACCAACAAATGGCTCATTATTCAGAACACTTTTAATAAATTCCTTGGCTTTCTTTTTAATCTTCTTTGACCAATGGACAAACTTTTGAAGCCACCAGTTTTGCCCCCGGACAGGAAACTCCCCAGGAGCTCCCATCAGAGCTATTACAGGATACTCCGAAGCTGGAAATCTAAAGATCAGCGAAGACAAAAACAAGAATTGTATAAGGGTCTTGTAATGTAAGCTCAAAATTACAGACTGTTTTGTTTCTTGTGAGAAGGATAACATGTTTGTTAAGTCACGAACGTGGAAAAAATCAACGGTAAAAAATGTCGAGTATTTATTTTAAACCCATGACAACCCAAACATCCAGGAAGAGCACCCTATTCAATGAGCTGTGGAGAGACTCATCAAGGCACTTCACTAATTTCATGTGACATTTGTCTTGCATACTGTTAAGAACTGTGCACTGTCAATAAAGTACCATATGGTCATAATTAAAGAGAAATGATAAATTTTAAGCTCAGTTGTAGTAGAGTGAGAAAGATATAACCAGTTTTTCATGTAAAGTGCATTGGGCAAAGAACCGATTATTTCGTCTCCTTTTACTCCTCCTCCCAGTTTCCTGCATAACCTTGTAATAGCCAATGAAAGAAGCAGCAGCACCCCCTGGGGGAGACTAACATATAAAAGTGCCGGGGATGCTCATCATCTCACTTAGGAGTAGACTGTATTAAAAACAGTTGTTTTTTTTTCTTTCTCAAAATAGGTTTAGGGTTGCGTAGAAGTAGTGTAAGAGTCTCACGGGCACACAGCGAAGTGAAGGGCGTGTGAGGCGAGAGAAAAAAAAGTCGGTATTTTTAGCGTCTCTCCCCAGTCGAGGTCTCCATTTTCAGCTTCGCTCCAAACCTTTTGTGTGACTGTTAGTGCATACCAAGAGCCAGAGAGGGACCACTATGGCTCTTGCACCCAAAAATACGTACTGTTTTGCGGTCTAGCTTAGGAGTGTAAATTGCATATTCTTGTCTCGCCAAGGGTGTTTGGGATAGACAGTCACTATATTTGCCCATTCAGGTTAATTTGCTTAGGGCTGTGCATAAAGAAATTTACAAAAAACTGCCATGATATCTGTTTAGTATGGTCTTATTTAGGGGTCAGTTTAACCTTGAGCCACCCACACATTGGTCTCCCTTAGGGGTTTTATACTACTACATGAGAAATTTCTGCAATTTGATTGGCTTAGAGGAGTGGTATTTCAGCTTAATTTGAAATACCTACATGTGAAAATTACAAACCTTTTGCGGGTAGTAGTATAAACAAATAATAGCATGATTTGTACGTGATATTTGGCATAAATACCACTCGAGATATTTCAGCGGCTCGTGAAATTATGTATAACAATTTTGAAATATCACTCGTGGTATTTATGCCAAATATCACTACTAATCATGCTATTACCTATACTAATTCTAATTTTCCGAACAGCATCCCTGTCACTGTTACATGGAAGTCCCTCACGGGCAGCACTCCCAAAACAGTGCTATAGTACAACGGACACAACACTGGACCAGTCTCATGTGTTATTTCAAAATGGCCAATACATGTAGCCTAACTAACATATCATAAATTAAGATCAGAATTAAGTCCAATATCACATCCTCACTGCAATACTGTTACACCTTCAAAAAGATGTTCCTTCTTACCTTTCTAGCCAGGCTTGTCTGCTGTGTCCACTTTCCGTGTCCCACAACATGCCAGTGTGTTCCCGATAGTCATCAAAATTTATGTTAAAATGATCCCAGAAAGGACCAAATGGATTCCCCTCCTTCATTCTACATTTATGCCCAGTAAAGGAGTAACAGAAACCTGAAGGGAAAAGAAGAAACTAAGAAGTTAATGGCAACATATTAACATTCATTAAATTGCTTTCCTAATTTGCTAAGGTATAGTTAGTTCAGCTTGCTTAGCAGCAGGACTCTAAAAATGCAAGCGTTTCTTTGTTGTGTGTGTGTGTTTGTGTGCGTGAGACCATGGAAAATGGGGATAAGAATTGCAATTAAGGATCAAGATCAGGATCAAGATCTTCAAAAACCATACCCTATAGGGCGGCACATACCAATCCAGCCCATAAATGGAAGTACTGCCCCAGGCTGTAAATGCAATATTTACAAGAATGATGTTGTTTCAGTCAATATTTATGACTAACTGTCATTCTTGTGTTCTTCAGACAGTCTTGACCTCAAAATATGTACAACGTCAACATCTCAGTCAGTCACATCTATTATATCCCTTCACCGCACCATCTCAATCTACTTTTTTTGATGTTTAAAACTAGGTCTGAATGTGTAATAACGGTGGAACCCTTATGTCTTAAATAGTTTAGTCCAACTGAACCAGGAGTTTAAGAAGCATCATTACAGAAAAAAAGTACCAACCTATACGTTGACCAGGAGGCCAAAAACTTGGTGCAATATCTTTCATAAATTTTTCCATTGTTATAACATTGTGATAAGCTTCAAGTGGTTTTACAAGAAACCATTCATCAAATGGTACCCTCTCCTGGAAAATAAATCAAACCATAGATTAAAACAAGTCTCCCTTTATTTAACCAACCTATGCCACTGATATTAGTATTATAAAGGAAATAAAGGGCGATGTAAAGAATCGACCATAAGAGGACACAGAAAAAATCTGAGCCCCAGATGGGATTCAAACCCACGACCCTTTACATCTCCCTTTATTTCCTTTATTATACTAATTATTATCAGTGGCATAGGTTGGTTGGTTGGTTGGAGGCTCCTTCATAGGCGAGGCATTTCTTGCAATTAATGTGACTGCGTGATGCAGTTAAGACTTAATGTGTTGCTTGTGATGGACTGTGTGACTGCGTGATGTGGTTCGCAAGTCCAACCCACAAAAATGACCCTTGCTCACCAACGAGTCCTCAGTAGTTTAGAGGTTAGAGTATCCAATCTAGAACACGGAGGGTCGTGGGTTCAAATCCCATCTGGGGCTCAGATTTTTTCTGTGTCCTCTTATGGTCGGTTCTTTACATCTCCCTTTATTTCCTCCCCATATTTGCCATTGAAAAGTCTCATTTGGGAGGTGGCAGACAAAATCCTAAAATTGTTTATTAGATCTCCACAGATATTAGATCTCCACAGGTTGGCATCTCTGAGAATCAGACCTGCTAACCCCTGATCAAGGAAAATCTGGTGACTAGTAAAAAAAATTGGAGATTCTACAAAAAGTGGTGAGATTCTCATTTTTTCCAGACCAAGATTAAACCAACCCTGTTTCCATTGGGGGAATTAATTGTTTATTTAAATAGTACCTTGTTTTAGTGTGGTCCCACTTGTGACAAGATACCACTTTTTTAGTTTTTTGATGACTCTTTGAGGGCACAAAAGAGGTCATAACTGGGATGAAACTTACAGCAAAGGGTCGATTCCTCTGAATTATCAGCCAACTTCATGGCCAAAGTGTTGGACAAAGTGCCATCAAGGCTTAAACAAGCACTAGCAATCAACACAAAATTTCCGTTTTTATTCAAAAAAAGTAACATTTGATATCAGAATGATATTTTCCAAAACACCGTGAGATTGGGTGAGAGTTGGCAAGTCTGGAGAAAATAGTTTTACATTTATGTTTGAAAATATAGTAACAATAATTCTTACAGAGCCTCCAATTTTGTAGCTTGGGTACACTATCCAGGGAGGAAGTACAAGAGTCCTATTCAGTCCCTTTGCAAATGACAGTGATCCCAAGAACTGATCAGCTTGGTTTCCAAATCGACCTGTATGCAATGCCAAAGAAATAAAAAAAATTAGTTTTTTCCAGGAACAGTAGAGACACACCTGCTGGGCAAAAAGACAGGGCTGTCATAGGAAGGGCCAAGGGCAAGGGATAAATTCCCCCGCGTAAATGACCACAAGCACGACCACAACATACCGTAAAATTGCGAAAATAAGCCCCGGGGCTTATATTTTTCAAAGGCCCTTTTTGAGGGGCTTATTTTTGGAGGGGCCTATATTCGGAGGGGCTTATGGACCGAGGGAAATTTGCGTTATAAAATCGGTTGGGCTACAATAGCTTGTAGTGGAAATGAAATTTACCATTTTTGCTTTGTTTTATTTTGTATTCGAGGGTAAATTCCAAGTACAAGCCCCCCAGGGGGCTTATATTGGGAGGGGCGATGAACAGAGGGTGTTTTGCGTTACGATTTTGGGGGGCTTATATTTGGAGGGGCTTATACATGGAGGGGCTTATTTTCGGAATTTTACGGTATACACTTTTTACACAATGAAGAACATCAATATTTTTTGGGTGATATTAAATTCCACAATACCCTCGACTCTTTGTTGATTTTACAAAAAAAAAACGAATTAACCGCATAGGCCTCTGCACCAAGATACATCTAACTCATTCTGTTAAGTACTGTTTCTTTTATGTACTATGAATAATGTTTTCATAATAATTTATAACTTACCCATACAGGGACAGTAAACAATGTACCCCGTGCTCTGATCATTGGAAGAAAACGAGATTGGTTGTTGACTTCCTGCAACATCAAACGCTATTTGCTCATCGAGATTTTCTTTTCCACTGATGGTAACTAAAACTGATAAATATGAAACTAAAACTAATGCGAACGAAGAGCAAAAAGACGCTGAATCCCGTTTCACGTTCATTCTTTTAAGAAAGTATTAAAACATTGACCATCACCCAGCGGTCACCCGAAGGAACAGGTAAACGGATGTATAAACAACCTTATCTGGTGTGACTTGTTCGAAGTTCTGCGATCGGAACATTTCATGTTTTTTTTTCGAAGGATGTCGGAGCTTTTCAAAATGTTGATTTCATCACAAATGCGTTCAATCTTAGTGATCAAGGCAGAAAAATAATTAGACAGCTGTAGAACATTTCGTCTACCATATATGACGTATTTCCCCTCTGCCATGTATTACGTACGGTGACGTACGGTGACACGTACGCTGTTCGAGTCCTTGCACAGGTTCCCCAAGATCGATGTCAGTGTAAGGATTTGTAGTCTTTGTAACGATTTTTTCCCAGTGTAAAGGCTACGACAACAAATTACAACAACTTGACAGAATTAAAAATTGACCGACTACAACCTGCCGGAGTACTATACAGATTATTGTCGACAAACGCGCTGACAAACAAATATTTTGAATGAATAAACCAAAAAAGTTTTCTGTATTTTTTTCCAATTGATGCTCTGCAATTGATGCGAAACTGGACTCTGCTGCGAAATAGTAGTTTTGTATTTCGTAACTGTCTGTGTAGGCCTTACTTACCATCTCCTTACCTGTACCACTGATCGCATATTACAGATAATTCAGGCGCGGATCCACACCGGTTTCCACTGTTTTTCCGAAATCGGTCAGATTTTTCTTGATAAATATATTTTTAATTAAACAAAACAATTTTCCAAGTTGACATCTGTCAAATGGTTTTCGCAGCCAGTAAATATCCTCTCTAAATGACCCCCAGAAGCTTGCTTTTTCGGTGATCGTTTAGGAAATCGGTCAGTATTTATCCTAGATCCGCACTAACCTAAGATCAGGCTTTATTTTCGTTTCGCTTTGAAAATAACACTCCGGCGGGAAAGGCGAAATTGGGCCTGATCTCAGGTTAGATCCGCACCCGAGATTTAATAACTTTGGACATGGAGTTTCTGCCTTTACACCAGTGAGTAAAACTGCTTGCATTGATAAGACAGCTTGTCGAAAATGTTGATTGATTTCAGAGGATGAGAGGGAGAATTTTAGAATAGCAAAATAGATGCGTTCAACTTTAATTTGGCCCTGAATTGAAATGGCAGACAAATTCACCTAAAAAAAAAACACCAAGCTGAAGTTGTCTGCCAATAGACCTTGTCACGGTTTTCGACGCCATCTTGACGAGTAGGCAAACGTGTGAGAAATTACAGTGTTTGTATGAGAATCTAATGTCGAATAATTTCCGTAAAACGGCTGTTCTGAAAAAAAATATCAATTGTAAACTAAAGCTACAAAGCGACGGATTGTCCTAAAAAATCTGGGGGGTGTACAAATCATATTTTTTTCAGAGCAGCCGTTCTACGGAAATTATTCGGCATTAGATTCTCATACAAACACTGTAATTTCTCACTCGTTTGCCTACTCGTCAAGATGGCGTCGAAAACCGTGACAAGGTCTATTCACTACCTGTTCGCCAACTCCAAATTCATTTACATGTAAGCTAGAAAAAAGCAGAGAACCATTTTTAAAAACGTCGTGCAAACGACACAACATTGTTGGGAGTTGTTGCGTCCATTTGCATATAGCTAAACTGAGAATCGTTGCGCAAGAATTCCGAACAACACGCAACAACGCAAACGGACGCCACATGTAACATCCAACATTGTTGGGAGTTGTTGGCCAAAAAATGTTGCGTCCGTTTGCACGGCCGGGCTTAGGAACAATAATTTTTGTCCAGAAATACTTATTATTGCACAGCTACAACTCAGCTATACCGATGAATTTTATGCATTGAAAATTTTCGTTTCTACGTGACCTAAATCTTTTACAGTCTTACAAAAAACTAAAATCACAAATCAGATCAAATCGCTGGTTTAATGTCCCTTTTGCAGTCGGAGGACTGAATTGTAGGATAAATTACAAGCTGTGATAAATATACAAATACGCTGCATTGATTTACAAGATTAATATTTAACACTAACAAAATTTGAGAAACGTTCAGTCCTTGTGGCCATGGGCCTGCTAGAACTCCGTGATCTTAGACACACACTGGTAGATATAGGTACCACTCTGTTGTGTATGAGTCGGTATACTGGGTTACCTGGCCGAACCTTACCTATAAATTTAATACACGAGATTGTCCGACGGTCAGAAAGAGGCAGAAAGAGTGGATAATGCAGCTTTGTCAAGTGCTGTTTAATACGAAATACCAGGCCAAATGATGGAAACGGCCCTTTTTTGCACGTTCTCGAGATAGCAAGCAAGATACTTAGGCAAACCAGCAAAGACAGCGGAGGCGTACTCTAGTATAGAGTGAATAAGCGCGCAGTAGATATGAACAATATCAGCCGACGGAACTTTGCACTTCTTCAGTTGTCTCAGTAGTAGTGCATAAAGTCGCATGTTGGCCTTCTTCACTATGTAGTCGCAGTGCACTGCCCAAGTGAAGTCCTCAGAAAGATGGACACCGAGGAACTTTAAATGTAGAGACCTGCTCAATATCGGACCCACCAGCAGCGATTGGGTGCGGAACGCAACTATTGTAGTGAAGAAAGTCAACAGTCATAAACTGTACCATGTTTGCTTCACTGACATGTCGCGTGAGAACGATTTTCCACGGCAATTAGAATTCTTTTGTTGGCAAGCTAGAACAGGCATAAAAAAAAAACACAAAATTCTTTGTTTGAACATATCTGATTAGCATTTTTTATGCACATGTGTGAAAATGACAGGCAGCGTTCTATTTATTCTACTTCGGACTTCCTATTTTGTATTTTAGTTTTCAACATCTTTAACGAGTGATCTGTGACTTCGTTCTTCATAAGTAAGGATTAATTTAAGGCAGTCTTTTAGGTTAACTACAATGGTAAGTAAGAACTGAAATATTCGAATATCCTGATAACGAATCCTTTTAATCTACATGTTTGTCCTTTATTCATTTACTTATATTTTATTTCCTTTTCCCTGTTTTCGGTGAAAAATAAACCCAAAAGATTCGGATAAGGCTTGAATCAAAGAAGAGGAAGAACCATCCTTGATCCTTGAAGTCAAGATCAATCACGGCGCTAACACGAAGATCATCCGCAAGTAATGAACGAGCAAGTCGCCCGCTTGCTCCTTTCAGCGTAAAACGACTAAAACTAATGAAGCGGCGTTAAATATGAAGAAGAGTACTAACCGTTTTATTTCTAAATTTAATCACGAAAATATGAAAACTTAATTATCAGGAAACTCGAGAACTGAGCTGGTATAAAGCTTCAGAGCATCTGTGGAGTCACCGAATTACTGTATTGTTATACCACCCGCGCGGAAGAAAAATTCAGAAAAGGGTTATTTAAATAAAGACTCCAAATTTGAATTTAAATTGTTAAGTTCTCAAAGCATACTATGAATTCTTTTTAAGCTTGAATTTAAATTTGAAAAATTTTAAAATTTTCATAAAATCTAAAACAAGGAAAAGGTATAGAATTCCAGGCGGACGAAAAGTGAACTTTGTCCAGTGTGAAACAGATCGCCGACACGGCTGGTGACGAAAAAAATCCTTTTTTCTTGTCTAAGCGACCCGCATTTTACCTGCAGCTGATCATTCATGGAAGATCTGTTTACATTACCTTAAAGTGACCCCTAACGAATACAGTTTTTATCTGTTCAGCTTCTCAAAGAGCAAAGGACGTTAGAAAAGTTTCGTGCTAAAAATATCCTGTATGGCTCACAGAGTAAGTTCTTGCGAGGACATATCATTTGAAGCCTGCAGAAAAGACGCTACTTCTTCGCGTTTTTCGGGAGAATTCCCCCGTCGCGCGTGTCTCGCACGCTCCTCGCTCGCTTCGTGGTTGCCTTCGCTCGGCTGTAAAACGCGAAAAACTAACGCCTGTTCTGTAGGCTACATCAATTGCGACGGAATTCCTCGTTCTCAAGCTCCTGAGGCCGGTTAAATAGCTACAGTAGGTGGCTCCTGAGCACTTAGTACAAGGGTACCATTTTAAAATGGCGAAAAGTTTAAATATATATCATGCCTTGTTGATTCTAGCTTTACAAAGAGCATAATGTATTATTTTTTCTTTCTTTTATTTTCAGGAGGTATTCCATGTGAACACCAAAGGAACTCTCTTGTTTCAGGACTGGAGATATACTTCCATATCAGGTCAGTACGAAACTCTTTTACATTAGAATTACCGGTAGTATTGCGGTAGTATTAGTAGTATTATACTAGTTCTGACATACTACCTCTTACACTGGAACCTCTCCTTTGCGACACTTCTATTCAAGGGACACCTCCATTCATTTGGTCCCAGAAAAAGGTTTACACAATTCAGTGGTATTTTTTACCTCTATTGAAGGAACACCAGCTCTACTCAGGGGAAGGGGACACCTTTTCTGGACTCGAAACGTTGGTTTAACCTCCATTCAGCCGACACCTTAGCAATCAAAAAGAGACTGACCACAAAAATCGTCGATAAGTTTAAGTGCTCACTAGTCACAATGGCAACAGCTTTCAAAACATGCATTAACTGAATTAACTGAATGTACTGCACTTGGGGTGACTTACCACACAACATCGCCGAGATAGGTTAATCCAGGAGTCTATGATAGGCTCCTGGTTAATCATGATTTTTTATACATTATCTAGCTGCTTGAAATAATGACTGCAGCAGATTCCCTAGCCTGCGAGAGCAGATGTCTTTTTCCGCTCTAAAAATGATATTTTATTTGTTGGTTAATTATTAACATTCCCAGCCCAAGCTCCATTCAGGGGACACTTCCCTTGGTCCCGAGGGTGTCTTCTGAATAGCGCGTTAGAGGTTCCACCGTATCAAATTTCTCGTAAGCAGAGTTAACCTAGCCTGCGAAAACATCCGTTTCTCCTCGCTCTTCGCCGTTGGGGACGTGTCCCTCAGCGGCGATGAGCGAGGAGAAACGTCTGCCGTTCGCAGGCTAAGTTAACCATACTAGAAGCCTATGGTTAGAAGCTATACCTCTCTAATTGATTCTTATTATTTCTTGGTTTCAGCCCTTGTTGGAGTCTGTTTAGCAACTTTTTTATTTACTGCATTATATGAGGGAGTTAAAATATTTAGAATATGGCTAGAGTCCAGACCTCTGAGACTGCTGATGCGAGACCTAACACAATCGACACCTACAAATGAAGATGACGATACTCAAAGTGCATTCAACTCCAAGGGGAGTCTGCAGCAACGTATAATTAGATTTCCCAGACAGAGGTAAATCCGGCTGAAAAGTGTGCATTTGGCGCCTATGAAAATATAGCCTGGTACCAGGCTCGGTAGTGGGAGGAAAGGCACCCAAAAAAGGGTGGGACAGCGAAGCGAACCTAGTGGTGGGATGAAGAGGGAAAAAGGTCGCCACCCTTTCCCCTCCCCAGACTACCGCTTGGCACGCTTAGCTCGCCAAATTTTTGTTTGTTCGGCCCAATTTTTTTCTGCTTTTCCCCACTACGCAGCCTGGCCTCAGACAAATTATAAAAACGTTATTTAGCTAAACGTTAAACATGGGCGAGTTAAACCTGGGAGTTTCAGGCGAGATGGAAAACCTTCGTTACAGTTTTATCCTCTTGTCTCTGTTTTGCCGGCTGTAAATGACTGAAATAATGCTTGCGCACCAAACTCGGCACTGGCTTGTGAGTGAATAAGTGAATCACGAGAAGATCAACCTCGTTTCCAGGGATTTTCCTCGAAAATTAAGAGGCTTAAATGTGATCAGAGTCATGTGCCGTTGGGTTGCTAATCCTGAGAGGAGGGGAAGTCAATGAATATTTCCGTCAGCTTTAAATTTGGAAAAGGAGATGATTACTGAAATGTAAACTTACGCGAGGTAAATATGGGGAATGTGTGCTAGTCTTTGGCTTTGACAAATGTGGAGTCGTTCGCGTCGCTTGTCAGTTGCGCAGATGGTTTGTTTGCGCTTCTCTCGGGGCGTAAACAAACTAACTACGCGATCGACAAGCGAGTCGAACGACTTCGTAAATGCTAACAGCCCAGCCATGCCGGAAAAGAAGCCTCTGTACTCTGGGGAGCAGCAAGCAACCTCCACACTAGACCCATGTCACTCTGTTTTCACGGGGCGGTTGATTTTTAGAAGACACATTTTAGAACACTTTTTTGCCAGGAAAATGGAAGCTCCGTTCCGTCTGTGAGCGCATTGGTAGAAAGGAAAACTAAAGATCTAAGTCATGATCATCAGGGAAGGTAATTTTAAAAAAAAATACCATTTTTAGATCTGCAGGTTTCTCTGACTCGTTCTAAGAAACTGGTCTGTGAAATCGACGTGACACGAGTAAAAGTTGAAAGTTCCTAACTCTGGGTTATGAGCTCCAGGTTGTAATCAACTCTGTTTATACTTGTTTCAGCGGAAAGTGGAGAAGTGACATTCACCTGTTACAGACGTTTTTACATGTGCTGCAGGTGTTTGTTGGATACGTACTGATGCTCATAGTGATGACGTATAACACGTGGCTTGGCGTCGCAGTGATCGCTGGGGCAGGAACTGGATACATGGTTTTTTCAGCGATTTTCCCAGATAATTTGCGATTCCAAAGAAGAATCGAAAAAGGTTTCCAATTAGGGGAAATTTCATCTGAAAATGACTCTAGGTTAATTGATAATTAAAGAAATAAAGTGAAAGGTTTAAATTTTTATTCTGAAATAAATGACACCTAAGGTACTGCATCATAACAGTCCGCTAACACGAAAAAAAAAATCGAACCTGACGCCAATCTCATTCTCAGAAGCTCTTTCTTATTGGTCAGCACCAAGAATTAGCCTATTCTGCTAAATTAGGCTAGTAGTAAGGCTCTGACGAATTCTGTGGCGAAAGATTGACCCAACCTCGATCCCAGGTTCTCTCCCAGGTGCTACCTTTGTAATGATATCTGCCAAAACGGGTAGACTTTCTAGTCTTCTTGGATAAAGACTATAAAGCACAGGCCCCGTTTCGCAACCCTTTCTCATAACAGAAGGCCATTTCCGAGTTCCCCCGGACCTCTGTATCAAAACGAGGTCAAGTGCTCAGCCTTTGATATGGAAGTGATTTTTCATTCTCGTGCAAATAAAACTCATTTCCATAAGAAGGTTGTGAACTTGGCCTCATTTTGAAAGCGAGGGTTTTCGGAACTCAGAAGTGGCCTATTCTAGTCAGTACGGTTGAGTAGGGGACGTAGTCCTGGGCGTGGTCAACCTCGTCCCCAGGGCGCTTTTCCCTGGCTTTGGCCAGGGGAAAGCGCCCTTGGGTCGAGGTTGGGGGGTGGTGGATTATCACAAATTCATATTTACACTGGCGGGAGCATTCCTAACTCACTGCCTCATTCTGAACTGTGCCACTAGAAGTCTGGCAACAAGTCGTTGTAAATTAGCAAAATTCTCCCTGAAAGCTCTAAGGGGAGTGGATGATAGTATATTTACAATTTATTCATGACAATTCGACCTTACAATTATGTCACTAGCTAGCCCAACAGGGTCTTTTGGTAAGCGCAGGGGTCAAGACTATCCTAGCCTTCGAAGAAGGGCCGGTAAGCTACACACAGGATCATTATCGTCACTTTAATCATCATCATCATTAAAATAGTATTACTGATGAATTCATTCTTTATTCATACACAAAAATATCATAACATACAAGCATATACTATCTAATATAATTCTATCAGCAATTTTCCCTTTCACGGAATAAAATTAACAAACAATTCCTAAGAACCAACAGTGATTAATAACATTAAACGTCAAGCGATGCCTGACTCTCATGGATTGTTTGTTTGAAAACGCAAACGTTTTTATGTATTGTGGCCTTGCTTCCACATTAAAACGATCAATAACGGAGAGTTATTATAACCAATGTTTCGAAAACGAAAATCGAAGTCTCTCCACTGTGGAGAGGCCTTTTAAAATAGGTTTTCGAAAACGCTGATGTCACAGCTACTATTCATTGCTTCGAGTACAGACAGTACAGCCTGAGAAAGACATGTTAACGTAATGAACTTCGTTTTTGATGGCTTATTGTGGACGGGAAGCCACATCGTCAAATGATTAAATTAAAGGTTTCATGGACAACGTGAAAAGGAATCAACAAATTTTCTTTTCTCCCGGCCGGTGAATTCCACGCTGAATATTTCAAGAGTGTGGGATAGGATTCATTTTCCGTTGTTCAACATTGATGACATAATAAACATCGCCTTTCATGTTACTCATTCGGTCGCTAAAAACGAGCAGATAACTAATTTTAAAAATTTTCACTCCTTGAAAAAAGGTAGAGCTGGTAGTTCATAGTTTCCAAAAAATATGAGACAAGATCACACATGACGATTTTAAAAACTAGAGAAAAATAGCCCCATTAAATCTGGATAAAACTTACGGAAATTCAGCCAAAAATAGTTAAAATGTTAAAGACTATTATTATTATTACTATATTCTCAACACAGTTCAAGGAACCATAAAATAAAATAATCAAACTAAACAAAAAATATCCAAGTTTTCACCCACAAAAATAGATTACTTGTATGATTGTTTTACCAGTAATATTATTGTTCAACCTCTACACCCACTGGTAGAAACAGAAATAGCACAAAAACTAATCTTATTTTCCCTAATAGAAATAATAAGATTGATTAAAACTATCCAGTATTTTTGAAGGAGTTATAAGTAAAGCCCTTGCCACTATTAATACGAATATTAATATGACCCCACAAGTGGAATTCTCAATATGAATGATAAGGGAGCCAATCCTAATACCGATACTGTACCAATGTAGGGACAATATGAGTTTGGTACACTGTAGGAACTAAAGATAGCTATTTGCAATTGTGAAGTGTCTGTTAACATCTGCTTGTGCTATTTGGATCATTTGCAAATTATTCCAACAAGCTTGCTGCTTCCACTTCAACTTAGGACATTGTTGAAATAATGTGCAAATGAACCAGTGGGAGTGACTCAGCAAGTAATTCAACCCTTATCTAGGTGCAAGAGTCAACAGTTTGACTCAACACCTCAGCTGAGCTGCAGCTACAATTATTTAGAGTCTCTCGACTTTGAATAATTGAGGTTTCCAACAGAGCTGGAAACTACATTATCAATAATCAAAATAACTTAAAAATTATCAAAGAGAGAACTCAAAAATTTGGTCATACAATCAAGGACAAAACAATTTAAAGTGAGTGAAATAAAAAAAACAATGCTTGTGATTGCATTGGTCACCAATTAAATACATGCACCGGTACTTTGAAAAACAAGTTTCACTTTTGTAAAAATCTACGTGCCAAAATTTGTTAGCTAAACATGAATGTCATATTATTACACCTTGGAAGAAGGTTGCTTACCTTTTTGTTACATTGATATGTAAAATAATGTTCAATTTTTCTAAAACAAATCATGTACATAAAATTTTTATACCTACAGCATCAGCATTGCTTATGATTTATGGTGAGGTGGGAAAGGGAGTGAAACTTCTCAGGGGAGGGGGGTAGGGAAAGAAAGCAGGAAGTGGGAATATCCTTTGGTGGAATATGACATGGGTTGGGGGGGGGAATAAATGCTGTCAAAGGGGAAAGAAAGACACTAAACTTCAGATTTAAAATTGAAGGCAAGTTAGAACAAAGGTTCACATTCCAATACTCACAATTTCAGGGCAAAAAAATGTGCCAATATTGTTTTAGGACAAGGACCTAGATTTGAGTGCACAAAAAAATACAAACCAAACATAGCACTTAAGAGTTGTTGTGCATCCTGTGGCATTTTGAGAATTTCAACACATAATTTCTCAAAGCTAAAAGTTACATCAACCAGAGCATTTGGAGGTTTATCTTCAAGGGCTTCATATTATGGACTTTTGATCTCTGACCTGGTTCCCACTTCCAAGTTTCTTTCTGGGGTAGATCTAGGGAGAGTGTAAAGGGTGGCTAGTCGACCCCTTAGGCAGAAACACGTTAAACTTTGTCTTCTATCAAAACCTGGTGAAAATTACAAAAATAGAGCAAAAATACTTCATCAAAATACTTTAATTTGCTCCTCAGAATGCTGGAAAACACAAAATTTATGAGGACTAAAACTGGAAAATGTTCCAGGGGAGAGTTTCTACATACTCCCCTAAATATGCCCCAGACTGAGTACCCCTGGGAAAAACTTTGTCCCTCCTCCCCACCTATAACACAGGTGCTTGCCATTTGACAGAAAAATCTGGTTGGGTGTCAAAAGCATTATGGTAAGCAATTTACCAGTTTACCACAGAATTTTCACATCCATTACAGTTTGAATCCAAAAAAGGGGATAATTTGTGTAGCGTGAGTCTGGAACCGAGAAGTTGGTAAATGGTAAGCAACATTCCGTTTGGTTCGTACCAACCGGAATGAAGGGACTACCTCAAAATGTGCTCCTCAATTTTCGGTCTGAAAAGTGACCTTATATACCATTTACCTAGCTTCCCTCCGGGATTTCCGAAATTTTCTGTCTAAAGGTAGGCACCATGTATGTAGAAAATCCTAGCTACAGAAGTGTGCTTAGCTATTGGTAATCAGTGGCAGTGTTCATAAATATCCACCACTTTATTAATCATCCAGCCAAAGACAAAATATCCAAAGCCTGCACCAAGGACCACAGCAAGACACAGCCACACATTGTACGTCATAAAGATCAACATGAGGAAATAACTGACAGTAACCTGCACAACATGAAGAAAGGTTTGAAGGAAATGATGCCAGTTGAATATTCGAGACCTGAAATACACAACAACAACAACACATGATGGGTTTAGCATTCAAGACCAGGACCCAACATTCGAACATCACCCAAGGCCTGTAACACCTTATACCTTATTGTTACTTTTAAATTTTGCATTTTTCGCTACAGTAAAAACAAAGTGAGATTAAAGCCCTGGAAATATAAGTCCTCGCAAAATTTAAAACCCATGTGCATTGTAGAAAATTCAAATCAGAGAAAAATGATTAACATGTCATAACAACAACACATACAGTGTGAGTATTGACTAATGCACATCCCAAACCATTAACTTGTTCTCCATTTTGCATCTTTCGCTTTGAAATAATTAACAATTATTCCTTGAGCCCAAATGGGCTCTGAGTCTGAGGCTATTGACTCAGAGGCCATGAGGGCAAGGGGAATAATTGTTTTAGTAAAATCCAAATGGTTGGTCAAAAATATCGAGAGAAAACAACTTTAGCTAGCAAAATGCGATTCAGCCGCCATTGTTTTGGTTTTCAAAGCCAGCGCTTTTCGCTATTAAGTGGGCAATAACATATAGCCTAGTAGTAGCTCAACCAATCAGAATGCAAAATTGATAACAGACCACTAGTTGGATTTTACTTTTTCAACATCAATTACAATGTAAAGATCCCACATACAGAATCTTGAAAATCTTATTCATTTAATTATACTTCTTCTTGCTTTTTTGGCTTTTTTTTGTGCCGTTGGGTTGCTAATCCTGAGAGGAGGGGAAGTCAATGAATATTTCCGTCAGCTTTAAATTTGGAAAAGGAGATGATTACTGAAATGTAAACTTACGCGAGGTAAATATGGGGAATGTGTGCTAGTCTTTGGCTTTGACAAATGTGGAGTCGTTCGCGTCGCTTGTCAGTTGCGCAGATGGTTTGTTTGCGCTTCTCTCG